TTTTCTGGAAACCCCACTCAAAGCGCTTTGCAGGTAATGGGGACTCCCCTCCACCACTGCCAATGTGCAGCATCCACCTGGATGATGATTTATAGTGTGAATGCCACATCCATTGGTGGCATGGTGCTGGGTTCAATTCCAGAGCTAGGATACCATCTGCTCGAAGTTTGTATGTTCATCCAGGGCTGGCATGGGTTTCCTATGGGTGCTCCAGTTTCTTCCCACAGCCCAAAAACATATTGGTAGAGTAACTGGCTTCTGGAAAACTTGGTCCTGGCATGATGGCCCTGCAATGGACCCATCCTGGGTATATCCCCACTTTGTGCCCATTGCGTAGCAGGATAGGTACCAGCTCCCCCACAGGCATGAATTGCAAGAAGTGGATAGAAAATGGAGAGATGGATGCATGCATGCATCCATGTCACATCCCTCCTCTCATTCACCACAAACAACATGAAACAAGTTAGGTAGTCCCCAGCACGTTCTCATGAACAATTTTTTTTTTGGGGGGGGGGGGCATTCACTGCAATACCTTTTTTTCTTTTTTCCATGAACTCCCTGCAGATTCGCAAGACTTAAAACACCACTACTCATCTCCTTACTACATCAATGAACAATTGGCTTTATAAACTTAAATGTCAATAGAGGTATTGGGTCTCTTTCAATTTTCTAATTGAGGCCCCAGAAGACTCTCAGCTTTCGATGCTGATGAGCCTAGACTATGGCATAATCTCAGTTATGTTTAGTTTTGTTTAACCTACTATATTGAGGTGTATACAATAACTTTCTTGTAAAGTGCCTTGCTAATGGGTTTTTGTCAGAGTAGGAGATTGGCAATGCATTTAGCCACTGACAGATCAAAAAAACGTATTTTATTACAGTACTTATCACTAGATGACTGCAAGACAAACATATAACAGAATTACATTACAGAAGGTGAAAGTCTTACTTTCAACAGTCTTTCTTAGTTTTGCAAATTTACATGAAAGGTAATCTTAAGAAAACTGGTTACAAACAAATGTGATTTCTAAAAAGATTTTCATAAACATCATAAAATATTTTAAGTTTGAGGAGAAATAGTGATACTCACTCACAATTATGTACAGGTTCTGTAACTGTTTTTAATTCTACTTAAATGGAATTAGTAAGACTTAAACACCATTGGCACTTAAACCACAATAAGACACAAATAGTGGCGGGGTTACCTCACTCAGAAAGAGTTTTAGCAATGCAGTAAGGATTCAGTTAGCTCAAAGGGACAACACCAGGAAATTAGTTGTTAAGTATTCAGTTAGTTTTACGATGTGTTGCCATCTACAGTCCACTACAGGCGAGCAGTTTTCAGTCCTGGAAGGTTGCTGCTGGAAGTGATGTTAATGGGGCCAGTAGATGGTGGTCACCCTGGGGTCTGTGTAGGTCCCTAATGCCCCAGTATAGTGACGGGGACACTATACCTTAAAAGGCCGTGTCTTTGGCCGAGATATAAAACCAAGGTCCTGACCTTCTCTGTGGTAATTAAAAATCCCAGGGTATTTCTAAAAAAAAAAAATCAGTGTGTTACCCCTGACGACCTGACCAAATCTCCCATTTGCTATTACCAATCCTGGCCTTCTAATAATCCCCATCTATGAATTAGCTTCATCATGCTGTTCTCCTCCCTACTGATAGCAGACATGTGGTGAGTGTACCGGTGCACTATGGCTATTGTCACATCATGGAGGTGAGGGCTGCACATGAGTGGTGGTGGAGGGGAGTCCCCATTACTGGTAAAGAACTTTGAGAGGAATGTCCAGAAAAGTGCTATACCAGGGTAAGTTATTACGAATTAGCACTAGAACCAACTAATAACACAGGGGTCATCCAGGACAGGATTTAGAAACAGTGTAATACATGGGGGAAACCCAGCTTTCGTTCCATCTTATCTTAGTTTACTTCAACTGGTACTTGAAAAGTTGCTTCATTGGAAAACTTGGAAATATTACTCCTCCACTCATCCATTTTCTAACTACTTTAGAAGTACGTGGTCATGGGGGAGCCCGAGCCTATGTTAGCATACAACAGACACTTACACCTAGGGCCAACTTTCCCAGAAGCATATTAACCTACTAATATTTTTGGAATGTGGGAGAAAATCAGATCAGCAGGAGGAAAGGCACACAAACACCGTGAGAACACACAAACTCCACACAGATCACAGACTACATATGGAATTACCAAGTGCTCCAAGGCACCAGTGCTTAGCATTGCACCAACAGACTGCTCCAAACCATTGCTTTTCATAAATAAAATAAAACCCCCATTCTAACATTTGTGATCAGAACACAAACTGACCAAATTAAGTAATTATTACAATTAATATGCATTTACAATTAGTTAAATTAATGGTTATATAATTGCTTCTGTTCTAGTCAAGCTCTACCAGGTATGTGAATCCCCAGGGCCAGAACTGGGGAACCACTACTCTTGATCTTCTCATACTACATGAGACACTTGGAAACTATACAGTGTTCATTGTAATCATGGCAAGTCTATGGCTGTGTCTTTATTGTAGCTTGTACCCAATATGTATGAAAGTCTTAATCTAACAATGATGTTTACAAACACGTATTGTTGTTGTACCACGGCTTAAAGCAGGCCAATTGAAATATAGTGTACTGAAAAAGTATTTCCCTCCAACCCCTTCTGATTTTCTTGCATATTTGCATTCCCCCTCCCCCCCACAGTGAGATTACTCAGATCTTTTCACAGGTTGTAGAATTATATAAAAGGAGAATCAGGGAGAAAAAAAAAGTTTTTAGCTTCTTTCATTTGTTTGGTGTGCAAGGCAATCAAACATGCAATTTCCAGGTGTGAAAAATGTTATTGCCCTCCCAGTGAACTCAATCCATTTAAGGTATAACTACTGTAGGTCAGCTGTTTGAATACTTTGGTTAACCATCAGGCCTGATGTAATCCGATTTATATTGGGAAGAGCTGGCCATCAGAGTGAAGCTCTCAGTACAGAGGTTCGGGAGGAACATCATGCCAAGATCAAAAGAAATACAGGTACCTGAAAACCTCTGGAAATAAAGCTCTTTATGACTGTTAGTCTTAATAAATGGTTATAAAGCCCATTTTAAGGCTCTGGAGCTCCACCGAACCACAATATAGTCGGACAATATAGTAAAACCTACAGTATATTGTCCAAATAGAGAGTTTGGGTCAGCAGTGCATCTTCCAGGGAGTATCCATCCTTCCAAAATCTCTCCAAGACCAATGAGTAAAATTCTATTTAATGGCTCAGTCATTAAGTTTTAGTTCCATGCAACTTTCTATGTACTTTCTTAACTTGTTACTCTAACATTAAAGTGACTTACTGTACCAATTAAAAGTAAACTGAACATCATTCGACCACTTCATTTACCTGAACCAGGCTTTCCTGCAATTAATGCAGGTATGACTTTAAATCATGAGTAAAAAAAAATACTGAATCATTTCATTGGCAAAGTTACCCCTATATACAGTTTGTTACAGTTATATAATGATTTACACGAGGTTATAAACATTCATTTTTCTTTTTCTTAATAGGCGTAATTTGTACTTCTGCTGCAATAGCATTTGACTCGCGAGATACTCATTAGATTTCGTGTGAATGGTGCTTTTAAAACTTCGTGTTTGAATTGGCAGAACTACTTTTATCTCGGATTAAAGCACAGTTTTGTTCTTAAAAAAGTTTTGGACAATTTCAGTTTTGCTTTTCGTTTATTTTACGACTACAAATCGTAACGCGTATACTGAAACCTCGTAAATGAACACTAAAATCAGCACAGAAATTGTGGAACACAACCAAAAACTAGAAGAACCCGCCAGAGCAAACAAAACATTTAGAACTGCGTCAATTTATGCCCGATTCCGACCATTTCTCAATCTACTACATTCTTAGAAGTATTTGCATCTTGCGTTTCATCGCTAAGAGCTTTACATAGCGCGGGGACATTTGCTTTCGACCACCGCTGAAGTACAGCACCGTGCCGCGTAACGCATGGCGGCCCCTGCACTACAAGCAGCTCCTCTACACCAACACGGCAGTTAAGCGAGAAACTTACCCCAGCCCATCAAAAATGCAGAGATTAACTGAATAAGCACGATTTTAAGAAAACCATATTGGAGAAATCCAATTGAAACAGAACACCAGGATTAACGCTTTACTAACATGGGCACAGGATCCTTAATTACCAAATAGTCAGAACCTTGTTTTCACGGTTCAAAGCCCCATAGAGCGCAATGGAGAAGAATCTGTTGTTTTGATCAGGTTTCTCCTTAAGCAATTTAAAATAATGCTCAAACTAATTTATTATAACATTATCTACATCATGAGGTTCGTCCGTATAGGAGGAATTGTTGCTTGCGGTGGGGGAAGAGGCATGTACAGTACCTACAAATTCTCATCCAAGTGGACAAAATGAGATGCTCTTCGTTTCGTGTGCTCGTTCTCTTTTCTAATGCCCTTAAGGCATTGATATTTCTTATAAGAAAATGGTAGTGCGCTGGACACAACGCCCCATGTTGTTTGCATTTTAAGTTTATATTTCGAAGAATCACGATTTTATTAATTGCAAGTTGAGGGCTACTACACAATCTGACACCAGAATCTTTCGCGCCAGACATTCCTCTTATAAATGCTCTCCTGCGCGCAAACCTCCACATGTTCATAGGAGAAGACTAGACCTACACATCTTCGTTCTCTGGTACACTTGCCTAGTATGCAAGAATAATTACCAGATATGTACATTTCAACATCTCTTGTAAGTCATTAGCAAAGCGTCCTGTTATTATCATGCAGGAATACCGCCTCACTTTGCATATACAGCGAGAACTTCACATATTGTATGAAAACTTACTACATAAAGTGGATAAACGTACCGTATAGCGGTTTTTTGGTACTTTTACTTGCACAACTTAAGAGGTGCAGCAACTTTGAAGATAATTTAAACCTAGTTGCGTAAATACACCCCCCATACCTGAAGTAGTTTTTATGCGACTCGGAAACAGGCTTGGAAACTTTAAACATGCTCCTCAAAACCTGTTGCCGAACATTTAAAGGATCCAAAGATATCCAGTTCCAGCTGAAGCGGCATCAGTCTTGACAAGTTCAAAGTAGATGAGGCACATCTGCAGAGACAGAACCGGAGCATTAGAGTTCGTAGTCCTGCAGCGCTAGGACCAGGTGCTTCTTACAAGTACCAGACAATGAGCAGCTGACGCTCATCCCAGTTTTACCTGCCTGCCTTTTACCTGCCCGAGAAGACGCGTAACGAAGAACCTTCGTGCCCGCGACCGTCTGGGGGTACTTAAAGCTTACAAAACCAGGAGCACCAGCGTGTCCCCCACCACCACATTTTTTTTTATCTAAACACGAGATTCGAAAGACTGAACTTGTATATTTTAAAATATAAAGCATTTGTAAACTCCATCAAGTAGGGACTACTGTACATGCTATATTAGCCAAATTAGTCAGATCGAATACACCCTAGAAAAAGGCAACAGGGGCTATAAGAAATGGGTTACAGAGAAGCAAACATCTACTAATTTGTTGACAGTCCAAAAACATACTGTACACAAGGGCACAAAAAATGTGTATATCTCTGTTGCATTCATTGAGCCACTTCATCCCCTTCCCGTTATTTTTACACCTCCGACTTGATCTCTGAAGCAAAGTACTGTATTTGTGTCTTGTAACCACTGAACACCTACTGTAAATAGTTGCGATAGCGCCTGTGTACGATGTCTCTGGCAAATGTACTTTAGAATCCTCTTGGATGTTTAAGTTGAGAATCAAAGTGAGGGAGAGTTAAAACGAATCTGACTCTTACGCTAATCCCCAAAAATAAATATTCAGTTAACGCGCTGTCGCCGAAACAGTCCAAGTAGGCTCCCAAAACATACTCTCAAATCCTGTCTTCAGGACCGCAACAAATTTTACGCCAGGATGTGCAATCGCTTGCAGAAGCCTTGACAAGCTTGCAACAGTCCTCTCCTCCCACGATCCTACTTCTCTTCTTTATCCAGCAACTCGCTCACAGTTTCGCTCATCTTCCTTAATGAGCAGCATCCACACAATTTGATTCGGCTGCGCACACTTCGGTGCCCTCCCACCACTTATCCACAGGAGTGCATAATTAATTACAATAACCCCCCAAAGTACTTTAATACTTTAATGATGGGGGTGAGCTGAGTAGGTGATATTTTTCGTTTCCACTTCGGAATTTGGAGAAGGTGTCAACACAACGTTTCCTTGCACAGATTGTAATATTTGCTGTTCTTTCTTTCAAAGTCTGCCGTAAAAAAGTGTTAAATATTTATTGTATTACCGTTTTACTGTTGCGTAAACTAGTCTTTTTTTAAATGTTGCACTAAGTATAAAAGACACCTGCGTTTTAGTAAGCGTGGGTTAAGTAGCGATACGGAGTAGTTGTTAGGTGGGGATTCTGCATTCTAAATGAAAGGTTTGAGATTCGAATTCGTATTTCACTCGGATTGCTGTAGTATTCTAGCCCAGCTACAGTATATATGGGTTTGAAGGTACCTACTACCCATTTGTAGATAGAAGAGTCAGATAAGTCAATAATAAAGTGCATGTAGAACTAGAACTAGAAACGCATTTTTACAACAAATCATGGTTTTGCTTGTATTTACAGGTAATGTAACTCCTAGAGAGATTTAGAGTACTTCCTACAAAAACATGGCCTTTCCTAATACAAGTACTGTATACTATGGCAGATTGGCGCAAACCTTGTTTGGCAGAGAGGAGGACGGTAGAGAATAGTCAGGAGGCAGATTCGCAGCTTCACGAAGGCAGAGGGTTTATTGGCCTTTTAGTTACATACGACGGTGAAATTCACCAAAGAGAGAGAGAGACAGTAGGTAAATAAAAAGGGAGAGTGCAGTTTCCAATATATTCCCAAAAATTACAGTCTATACAGTAGTTGTTTTAATTTTCTTTTCTTTGCTTTAGATTTTAAGGTAAAACACTACACATTTTGCCATTTGACAGTGTATCCTTATGTCAAGAATAAAACAGTTACAATTTTCGAAGTGTTTAAAATGCCCATTTAGGGAGAATAATTATTTTGCAATAAATGTATTGTTTCCAGATCTCTAGGTGACCAGGCATTTAATCAAGTCTATTTCCATTTGTGTTAAAACTGATGACTTGTGTGTGTCAAGGCACAAATGTAATAATAATTAATTATTTAATTAAGAATAATTTTACCGTGGGGAACCTCAGGAAAACCCTAGCCTCTATATTTTCACAGCTTAGTGGTTTTGACAGCATAATATTGAGCAACTCAGTGAAAAAATCCAAAGATAATGAGCCATGATCCCCAAATAAATATATTTAATAACATGATGGAAAATTAACATTGGAGTCAATTATTTAGATAAGGTGGGACTTGCGACACTGACTTGTAAGTGTTCTTTGAACAATCACTGATGGTAATTGATAAACACAAGTGATATTTTGTATGTAGATTTTCAGAAGGCTTTTGATAATTTTCCTCATTAAAGATCAACTCCTAAATTTCAGGCCATAGGCATTAAGGAAACTCAAGCTTCCTTAATGTTTGGATTGAGATCTGGTAAATAGAAAATGGAGAGTATGGAAAAAGTTTGTTAACCCCCTAGATTGGCCCACATATATACAGTATATATATTATATTCATTACGTCTTAATAAAAAATAGATATCCCTTTATTTTATCCATTAAAACAAACACATGAGCTATATCGGGGTTACCTAATGATGGAGTCTACTAGCAGAATCTGTATGTTACTCTGTACCCATATAGTGGTAGGAGCTGTGAACTCCTGCTGAATTCACATGCTAAACTCTAACCTTCACGCTTGCTTGAGCACAGATGCTTCATGCTCTCTGTACTAAACTCCCATCTTCTGTACCAAACTCCCTGATAAGGAAGGAATGTATTAATTGCTCTCTGAGTCCTTGAGTTTCTTGAGAAAGTACCTCAAAGACAGGAGAGGGGAAGTGTAGAGAAAAGTGTATATAAGTTGTGGAGAACCATATCCCCTTTGAACAACTACCACTAATATCTTCATTGTATTTTTCCTTGTATGCATAAAATAAAGCTAGGCTTGGTTCACGGACAATCCAGGCTCAAATCTCTTGGTTTCTACACCTAATTACCAACATGATCCAACAGTAAATATCCTTGTGTGAATAAATATATGAAACTGGTGGCACCTCTTTAGGCAGCAGTGACATTATTGGCTTTTTGTCATGCTTACCCATGCTGGAGAGCTGTGGAGTGAGCTATCATTGCCATGGCAGCCACCTCCATTCACCTGTCAGTCAAGTACCAGTTACCAGTACAAGTCAGTACAAGTACCAGTGAATGTATAATCAGTTGGGAGACCCGTACCACCTGGGAGCAATTTACGATCATGACTGCCTTAGGTGGTTCATGTTATTAAAAATCTGCTCTGACTGTACTCTGCACTCTGGTGTAATGTTTTGCTTGGAGCCTCTCAAGGTTTTGTGGTCTTGTTCCTGTGTTCTTGTATTTCTGACGTGCTTCAGATTTTAATTTGCTTTTTCGATTTCCTCTGTGCTTTGATACTGTGTTTACGTGGTTTCAGACATTGCTTTGTTCCCAGCTATGACCTTGGATTGTGTTTCTTGCATGTTTTACCTACAGTAGTTTGTTTTTCTTGCTGCACACACCCTGCCTTCTCCTGTCAGCTTGCTCCTTCGCTTCTGCTTTGCCTTTCAAGTTGCTTGCTATTGGGTTTATCTCTAACAATGAGCTGCTGCTTAGTTCCACCTTAGTCTCATGGTTATGACACTTTTAAGAATTTTGTCTTGTTCTTCCTTTCAGAACTGCTTCAAGTTGATGGCATTTGAGAGGTTCCTTGCATGAACAGTGTGCCATATTTTTTTTAATGAGGTTTAGGTCCAGATGTTGACTTTGTCAATCCAAAATGTAAAATGTCTTCCTTTTCAGACATTCTATTATAGACCTGATAATGCAGTATGATAAGGATAATTTTCTCTTGTTAGGCTTGTTTGGCCTCATTAAAGTCTTAATTGAACTAAAAAGATGCTTGATTGTATAATTTCACATTTGTTCTAACTCAAATGATGGGGATTTGACTTGTAAAATGTAATAGTTTATAGTTAAAAGGCAACTTCCAAAATGTTTCAGAGCTGAAAACAATTGAAGAGCTCAAAATAATCCTATCATTAAGTCACTTAATGGTTTGATTGTGTAACTGTAAGCATGACTAGAATAAAAACCAGCAGGTGGTTTTCCATTCGTCTTCTCCATCTCTCACTCTTTCTCAAAATTAAAACTGTAAAAAAAGCAGTGTACAGTATCTCTTTGCATACGATAATATTGCATAGTGGATACTGCTGCTTGTATGTTAAACTTATCATTATGTTTACTCTTTTAAGCTTAATTAATAATTGTATTTCCTAAGTGTGAATTTAAAATTTAATGGCATTTATATAGGTGTATTGCAAAATGGAGGTGATGTTGAGGGAGGTAGTGTAGGTGACAATGTTGGTAGTTTACTGTCTTTTGAAATGTGATTGTAATGTTTGTAGATTTTTTTTATATTTAGTATAAATAATGTTACAAATGGGGGGTTACGAAAATGGTGAAAATCAGGATTTGACCGAGCGGTTTAGTCAATAAATGAAAAAATTATTCATAACCCCCAACTTATAAGTTATTTTCTAGCCATACTGTATACCTGAGCGGCTTGTATAAATAGGCATGTGAATTCTTTGTTCTCTGGCACAGCTTTGGTGAGAAGAGCAATAATCCAGGCACGTGGTTAAACAAATATTTATTACAATGACAAGACACAAACTACACTACACAAAACAAAACATACAATACACAAGTTACTCTATGTACAGTATTTACAAACAAGGCATTTCAGAGGCCTAACATTCTGGTCATCCAGAAAACCCCAGACTGCTATTAAGCATTAAACTCATAATGCCTTCAGAGGCAACATAAGAGATGAGCTGCCTTCTAACTAAATACAATGCAACCTGCAGTTACATCTCTCTCTCTCTGGGAGCCTATATCCCTATCCATAAAAATGCACCCTAAGCAGGAAAGATGTTTCTAACTGAGTTATCTTTTACTAATCCACAACTTATCTAGGTACAGTATACCAAGGTCAACTTTACACTTCTTTCTGCTCAAGGGACCCCCAGACCTCAGCAAACATCTTTTCTCCTTTGAAGTTAGAAGTGTTAACTGTTCCAAGTGTCACTAACTTTAATTTAAATCTAAGATACACTTCTCAAAAGTGTGTACATCTAAAGCTGTAACAGTCATAATGATGTTTTTGTCCTCTTTCATGTCTTTCAAGAGTTTGCATTGAAAGTTTTTCTGTTGCCTGAATCACTCCTAGAGGGTCTGTCGAAGATCAATGATGGAGATAATGCTTTCCATACTGTTTTTGTTTCTTGAAGAAAAAAAAAATAATGCTATAGTGACATAGGGTATGTAACATGGGGGAAAAACTCAAATGTAGTGGAAGATGTTTGTAACTGTTCCCTCATATACTGTATATCATGCTCTTCACAAGCAAAAAGCACAAAACACATTTGCACATTTTGTATTTTTTATTTCCAAATATCTTTGTGTCAATTCATAGTAAATACAGAATGCAGCGTTGTCACAGTGTAAATTCATACATACAGTAATTCTTTTCCCAGCTGGTGAACAATAAAGCTTAATCCCATTTCTCTGCGAGGTGACACACACTGGCTTCCCCTATCTTGGCCTGTTATACCTCTGGGTTTTATCAGCATGAGTCCACATCAGCAACTATAAACCAGGAACTGTGAAGCCAGCAGGCTTGCTGCTCATAAGGTCACACTAATGCAACAACTCCCTTTCAATTGTTCGGAGTTGCCTCTTTGTGGTTGTTAATTGAACTGCAAAGTATGAACAAATCCTGGATTTAAAAAACCCTCCAAGCCATTTGTAGATGAAGCTCTAATCTTTCTAATCCTATAATTGTTTTTTTTCAGGTAAACACTAGGAACACCACGTAACTGCAGCATAGAGCAAGCCAGAGCCTGAGTTTAATTAAATGAGCTGCAGGGGAACAAGCAGAGATCAATTCAACGCTGTAAAGTAAAATAAAGAGTAACTCACATTTGTGTGAGGACACCTGAGGAAGATTCCACATCGAGATTTACTCCTTCCTCTTCCTTTCTAGTATGGGAATAATCGCTGCTCATTTGTTTTGCTCAAAGGCGGCTTGCTTGGAATGCATTGGAATTCTATTTTTCCCAGCAATCCAACAACAAAAGGCTCTATGTTTTCCTGCACATTAAGTGACAATCCGCTTGAACACAACACATCTAAATCTGTCATGACTCAGCAAATCATGTGGGATCCCCTTAAAAAGAGAGTTTCAATGCAAAGGGAATTGGGTGAAGGCAGTGTAAAAATCTTACAAATTTTACTGATTCACTTGGCACCTTGGATGAACACAAGCACTCAGAAATCATTTATTGTGGTCCCAGCTTGGGGCCAGCAGGGAACTAAATGTAAAGCTTTTGTTTGCAAACTATCCAAAGTAAATGTGGCACAAATATGGAAGTCCTTTTCCTTCCATTATTTCAATTCAGTTTTTTCTTTCAATCTATCCTTAGGTAGTTCCCGCAGTTAAGAATTCACCTGCTGCAAAAAGCCATACTGAAACAACAGCAAATAACATACAGTGGGTTGTCTACCTGCTTGGTTCACTCTAACGTTGCACTGTGTGTGATCTGCCAGAGTACTAGCATCTCCCTTTCCAACTATGGGCAGTTAGCTGGGCATACAGTAAGTGCTTTTAGAAACGTATCCTGCTGGCAAGCAGGAACAAATAACAGTCAGGTAGGACATGCAAAGTAATACATTCAACAAGATCTTTTGAGTGTCAGCTCAGAAGGTTACAACAATGCCTTAATAGTTGCTTTCCAGGATGGTTATGGTGACATTTTAGTCATTTTCCTTGGCACTGTAATGTTTTGTCACCTATTCCTCACAAACACCTTATTCAAGAACATATTGTGTGCAGTACATAGGAACAAACATCACCTGTTTCTTGAGTGCAGAATGTCCCAGCATACATTTTTTTTGCCTTGCCTGCTTCTTTCCATAAACATGGAGATTCCTGACAAGATGCGAATTAAGTTGCTGTTTAACATGCAGGTACAGAGCAGAGGGACACTAAAATCCCTCTAGAGCATACAAGTAAAGGGTTGAAAATACAATTAAACAAATACACCTGCCTTCCATCCACACTTCAGGCAATTATAAGGACAGGTCATTCTCTCAATGAATCTTGAACCACACACACAACCCACATTGCTGTACTGTACCTACTGTACTCTCCTCATTGACAAATTAATACTTTCTTTTATTTCTAATGCAAGACCTGTTGGAAGCTATACTTGGTCATGTTTTTATTGACTAAACCTTTTAGTATCTTCATGTTTCTGCTGTTTCGGAGTCTTCAATGCAAGAGGCATCATTTAATTTAAGTCAACAACATGCAGTTTATTTTTTGCATTGGCAGAAAACAAAACTACTCTGATCAAGTTAAAATTTTACTTTTCGGGGTGCTGTTGCCTCTCATCTCTTGGGATCCTGGGATTGATTCCATAGTAGGGTGTCTTATATATGGAGTTTGTATCCTCTGGATGCTCCAGTTTTTTGCCACATTCCAATGAGAGGCCGGTGAGGTTAATTGGTGTCTCTAAATTGTCCCAACATATTTGTGTATGTGTGTGCATGTGCAGAATATACAGAATCCAGAATATAGTCCTGCCTTGCTTGAAAAACCTCTGGGGTGTCAGTAGTAAAAAGCTTTTTCATAAAGGATAGAGGGTTAATTTTATTTTTCAAAAAGGATTAATTGGCAAAAAGTATAGAGAGTATTGTTAATTCTTCAAAAATTACTGTGTGATTTGGCTGTTCTATTTTAATGTGTGAGTACACCATAGAGTACGTTTGATAGTCAACAACAGACTGGAAAAGATAAATTATGTAGCAGAATACTGTAAAACACTTTTATGTACAAAACATGTGACTTCTTAACAATGCTTTTAACAAGATTTTTTTTTTCCTGAGGGGCAGTGATCACATTTAAATCTTCAATAGCAACCTTATGCTTAAGAGGGCAGTATGATAACTAGGGCCCTAAATGGACATCATGATTGACATTGATATTGTTGCTCTGTATAATGTACTGTATATGAATGTTCCAGTTAAACCAGCTGTGTAAGTAAGCACCTGTATGAGTATTTATCTTAACCTGGATCTACAGCATCCCAAACAGAATAAGCCTTTTAACTCTCACTTATCTAGCATAACGCTAGATACCAGAACAAGTATCATTCAATCCAATCTGAGGCCTTGATGGTCTTTCTAATTAATCCTGACACCTCAGCTTAATTTCCTCTTCTCTGCATACCTTCTCTTCAGGATCCCCGAGCTACAGTCCTGTCTTAGCAAACTGACTTGACACTTCCCTGACTTAATCTAGGATGAATCTGATGTCCTTAAAAATTACTGGACAGATTCATGATCTCAGAAGCATGAACTTCATTGACTCTACAGGGACTGCAAGGGTCTGTATTTTTATATATACAAAAAAGAAGAAAAGAGCCAGCTTTAGCAAAATATTCATATCCTTAGTTAGGGAATATGTTTGTTGATCATGTGCTTTTTAGGGTAAATGGCAGAAGGTGTTTACTATAATGCAAGCAAAAGGCTGTCACACTTTCCTTTTCATCTTTTGATGTACTGTACCATGTGAACTATTTTACTAGGGTCACAAATTAAATTGTCCACTGGGCTATAGTTCAGTTTTGTTGACAGTTAATTTCTTTAAAGTTATTTGGAGAAAGCCAGGTCAAAAACATCTCCTAATTTGAAATAAAGGAATATTTTAGAAATTAGGTTTATTTGTATATAATTAAAGGGGAAAGTACTGCTTGTGTTTTTACAGTGTTACTTACAGAATATGAAGCTGTCCATCTTTTCTTGGCTTTTAATCAGAGCTGTGCAGGCCATGGGCAATTTAAATTGGGTCAGGATAACATACTGTATACGGTGTGAGTTCCTGTGAAGACGTCTACTTTATTTGCCATTGGACACTGCAAACAACAAAATTCTGGTGTCACACACTAAATCTTCCACAGTACTTCCTCTTTCCAGATAAAATGCACCACAGTAAACATTTCCCCAACAACCTGCCTACTTTTGCCTTTTTTTCCAATCACATCATTACAGTACAGAAAAGTACAGTGATTATTCTCAGGAACCTCATAAACTGTTTCAAAGGTGTGTTTTCTTTCACTGACTTGTCTATTCCTTACATCATGGTTGATACAGTTTAATTATGCACTTACAATGTGGAACTATTCGCACTACAGGCAGAACTTTTAGGGGAAGAGTATTTGTGTCATACAATCTCTCAATTTGTACCACATTCCTCAAACTGTGTAAGTCTGGCCACCTTATTATGCTGTCCCAGTCTTTGGCCAGAACTCCAAGACCTCTTTCTAATTTTCCACAGATGTCCCCAAGTACAAAAATATATCCACCTATCAAGCTCAATAGGTGACATAGAATGTGGTTACTTTCAAGATAAAATGGCCTGTTTCGTTCTTCTATGGATGCACTCACTCTTCTTAAGGGAGCATGTGTCTGAAAATACACAATGGAGGTAGGTATTTTAGCACTTGGTTTTTACAACTCAAATTTGAATAATTCTAGTTGTGACTGTGCTTGACAAACTATTGTTATTATTATTTATTTTGGTCTCTTGCATTTCACCAGGATGGCTTGCCGTGTACCATACAACAAATATTAAATAACAGTATATCATACACATACAGGTAAATGTAAAAATAAAGTAAAATCATTAATGCAGTCACGCAACTGCATTTTATTAGTCATTCATTCTTCTTCTCTTCATTGTCTGCAAACTATAAGGAGGAGAATGACTGAACAGCTTTACTGAGATAAACAATACAACTGATGCACAGTTTAAAGGCTTCTTGTGGAAGGACAGACCACACAAGGTTTGAGGAATAGGACTGCAAGTGCAAAGTTCTCTACCAGCAGTGCCGCCATACTGTATTGTAGTCTGATCCTGTCAGATCTCAGAATCTCAGTAATGCTGGGCCTGGTCCATACTGGGATGAGAAACCTTATAGGAAATTAATGTTGCTGCTGTTAGGTGTGTTGCTGCATCAGTAGCTGGAGCTCATTCCTTTGCACTGAATTTCAAGCCAATGTCCAAGGAAGGGGACAGGGGACACTATGCTGTCCTTCAGATGAGAGGTTCAGACTTCTTGATCATTAAATATCCTGCAGCATTGTTTGTAAGAGGGGTGTTAACCCTGGTGTCCTGAATAAAATCCACTTATACAGTTTATACAGCCTTGCTTTCCTGTTTTCATTCTTCTCTTCTTGATCTACTGTGTAGGGGGTATGCTGGTGTATAACAGCTGCCAAATGTCATCAGTAGTGGTGGATGAAGTGGGTTTCTTCCTACAGTATATGTAAAATGCTTTGAGATATTCCATACATACATCCATTTTCTAACCATTTTATCCAATACAGGGTCATGGTTGAGCTGGAGCCTATCCCAACAAGCAACAGGCACAAAACAGGATATACTGTACCCTGGACAGGATGCCAGTCCCACAGGTCAGACACAGACACAGACACACTCATAGTAGGGCCAATGTTCCTAGAAGCCAATTAACACTACGTCTTTGAATTCTAGGAGGAAACTAGAGTGCCTGGAGACGAAAGAGACAGTATCACGAAGGAAATTATTATTAACTAGTCCCACGTATACCATCAGAATGGAAGTAAAAAAGAAAACAGGAATAGGAATCTTAACTTTAACAGACTGAGCATAGAGATCTCAGAAGAATCTAGTTTTGTAGAGTTCAAAATTGTGGCTACACAAATGTCAGTCCTGGGCATTTTTTAATTTTGCAAATCAGCAGGATCAATGGTACCTGTCACGAATCTCCCTCATGCAGGCAAGCGCTCCCGCATTCCCACGAGCTCTCCCCGTACCAAACGTGCATGCGTCAATCAGTCCTCTACTTAAAACCTCATCAGTCCCCCAGTCAGTGCTCACGATTGAGATTCTCTCCCTGAGCTTACCTTCTATCTACGCTTTCGCCTTACTACTGAGTCTCCCCTGGACCTCGACCCTGCTTTTTCCAACTACCTCTTTGCCACTCGATTTTGTACCTTCGCCTCTAGAACGCTCTCTCGGATCCTGACCCCTGCCTCTCTCTTCGATTACGCCTCCGCCTTCCGAATCCACTCCGACGCCTCTTCTACGCCTTCCCGGACTCCGACCCCAGCCTGTTTCCTAGATTACAACTTCGCCTACCGATTCTGCGCCTAAGTCTCTACTACGCCTACCCGGACTCAGACCTGTTTACTCTGACTACGCCTATGTCTAGCACCAACCCTACCTAGGGCACCGCATTGGATCCCTATCCTCCGCAGTCAGCCCCTGCGTGACAGAATCGTGAGCCAAAGTATGGATCCCGTGGGTTTAATCCCATGGCGCTGCTCTCCCAGCACTCTCAGGCTCTTGACCAGCTCAATGCCAGCATTCAACACCTCGCTAACCTGGTCTCCAGCTCCCCTCCTCAGTCTCTCGTTTCCCACCCACCCGTAAATCCCACTCTGCCACCAGTTTCTCTTGCCTCCTCTTCTCCCCTGCCTCCTCCCACACCGGACCGATTTGATGGCACCCCGAGTATGTGTCAGGCTTACCTGGCTCAATGCTGGATGGCTTTCAGCCTTCGTCTGGATTGTTTTCCCACCGACCACGAACGTATAGCATTTATGGTCGCGTATCTCTCTGGCCGGGCGATGGAGTGGGCAGCAGGTCTCCTTGCCAGGAATGCCCCCGAGACCTCGGACGTAGCACAGTTCCAGGCTGCGCTGACGTCCACCTTCGGACAGGTGCAGTCTTCCTACTCTGCTGTCTCCCCTCTGTCGGCTTTGTCGCAGGGTACCCGCCCCCTCCGGGAATATGTGATGGACTTTCGGGTCCTGGCCGCTCAGCTCGCTTGGAATCAAGAAGCCCTCATTCATCAGTTCCGTGCTGACCTTTCAAATTAAGGAACTTAAGGATTGTCTAGCCCAATTCCCTTACCATACGCCAACCCTGGAGAGTTTTGTTCTCTTGGCCACCGAGATCGATGACCGTCTACAACAACGAAGGACTGAACGTCTCATGCTCCATTCGGCTGCTAGCCGCAACGCTCCCGCTTCCACTCCCACGCCGTCTTTGTCTACTCTTACTCCTGAGGAATGCAACCATAGGCCGTTAGAGGGGCGCTGCCTCTATTGTGTTGCTTTTGACCACCTCCGAGTCTCCTGTCTGGTGCGACCCCTTCGTTCCGTCCGTCAGCCTCCAAAGGTCAGTATCCTCTCCCTCAACCCTTCTGCCTCTGGACTCTCCCTCCCTGCCGCACTCTCCTGGGGTGACTCTCACAAATCCCTGTTTGCCTTCGTTGATTCAGGTGCAGCGGGAAACTTCTCAGATTCCGGACACGCTGCCTCATTGAAGATTCCATTACTGCCCGTCTCCCCACCCATCTGCATCCAGTCCATCGATGGCTCCCCCCTCTCTCCTGGATTGGTTGAGTGGCAGACCATTCCCCTCTCCCTGCGTATTGGTGCCACCCGCCTGGAACATACTCGGCTTCTCCTCCTCCGTTCTCCTTCTCTCCCACTTATCCTCGGCTTCCCTTGGCTACAGTTACACAATCCCCGTATTTCCTGGTCCAGCAAGGAACACTGCCTGGAGTGATCACTGCCTGACCCACTGCTGTCAGTTCCCCACGAAACCTCATGTTCTTCAGATCTCTCACGTCACCTCACCACTTATACCCCCCGAGTATGCCGATCTTCACATTGCAGTTAGCAAACGAAGAGCTCTTTCGCTTCCTCCTCATTGCCCTTACGATTGCGCTATTGATCTTGTCCCTGGAGCCTTACCACCTAGAGGGCGTGTTTACCCCCTCTCCATGAAGGAAACCAAGGCACTGGATACCTACATTCAGGACGCCCTGCAGTCTGGTTTCATCCGCCCGTCCTCATCTCCTTATCTCACCTTATCTCACCTCATCTCACCTTATTAAGAACAGCCTCTATGCCAAACTGGAAAAGTGTTACTTTCATGTTTCCACTGTCCAATTTCTAGGTTATTTCATCTCTTCCCTGGGCATCGAGATGGACCCCTCCAAGACGGCGGCCATTAGGGACTGGCCAACCCCCCAGAATTTGAAGCAGGTTCAACGCTTTCTTGGATTCTTTAACTTCTATCATCGTTTCATTCGTGATTTCAGCTCCGTTGCCGCTCACATCTCTGTCCTCACTTGTAAGGGTCCGACTCTGGGCAAGTGGACCGATGAGGATGATCGAGCCTTTTTACGCCTGAAACACCTCTTCATTTCAGCTCCCCTCCTTCTTCACCCTGATCCCTCGCTGTCCTTCGTTTTAGAGGTCGACGCATCGGCGCACCGCGTTGGAGCATTCCTGTCGCAGCAATCTGGGGACAACTCATCTCTCCATCCCTGTGCTTTCTTCTGCAGGTGTCTCTCCCCTGCTGAGGTTAACTACACTGTAGGAGACAGAGAGCTCTTGGCCATCATGCTCGCCCTGGAAGAATGGAGGCACTGGCTGGAGGAAGCTCAACATCCATTCACCATTTTCACAGACCATAAGAACCTCTCCTATCTCCAGTCTGCTTGGCGCCTCAATTCTTGCCAGGCCAGATAGTACCTATTTTTTGCCCGTTTTGCCTTTTTCATCACATACACCCCCGGGTCTAAGAATATCAAGGCGGATGCCCTCTCCCATCTGTTTGATCCACCAGAGCTCGAACTCCCCCCCCGAACCCATCATACCCCCTCATCAGATAATTGCGGCGATCCGTCCCAACATTGAGCACATCGTCTAAAATGCCCTCAAGGGCCAGCCTGTACCTCCCTCATGCTCTTCGGATAAGCTGTTTCTGACTGATCGGGTCCGTTCCGAGGTTCTCCAGTGGGCTTATGACTCTCGTTTTGCGGGTCATCCTGGCGCCCACCGGACATTGGAACTTGTCTCTGAGGACTTCTGGTGGCCCTCCTTACGGGCTGATGTTTCGGATTACGTGAGAGCCTGTCCCACCTGCGCTCGGATTAAGACGCCCCGTCACCGGAAGGCTGGTTTACTCCAACCTCTCCCAGTACCCACACAGCCTTGGTCCCATATTGCTGTGGATTTCCTCACGGACCTTCCCAGGAGTCTAGGCAACACGGTGATTATGGTCGTCGTTGACAGGTTCTCCAAGGCAGCTCATTTCATTCCCTGCTCCTCCCTGCCTTCTGCTCAACAAATGGCCATTCTCTTTGTACGGCACGTTTTTCGTCTCTACGGGATCCGGTAGGACATCGTCTCTGATCGGGGTCCACAGTTTATCTCGCGCTTCTGGAAGGCCTTCTGTTCTGCTCTGGGCTCCAACGTTTCTCTTACTTCTGGCTATCATCCAGAATCCAACGGCCACACCAAAAGGCATAACCAGGACCTTATTTACCTGCGGGCTTACATCTCAGCCACTCAGGATGACTTGACCTCTTTACTCCCATGGGCTGAGTATGCTCACAACGCTCTATACTCTTCGGCTACTGGCATGTCTCCCTTTCTATGCTCCCTGGGTTATCAACCTTCGCTCCTCCGGAAAACGCCTTCGGACTCGGACCTCCCTTCTGTTCACATATATATCTCTGCCTTAAGGAAACTCTGGAAGACGGCCCGGCGCGCCCTCCTAAAGGCCTCACACCGTTTCCTAGGCAATTTGTCTGCCACTCCACCCACAACATCTCTCTCCATCAACCCTCCCACAAGTTGGGCCCTCGATTTATTGGTCCCTTCCGGGTCATTTCCCAGATCACTTCTGTCACTTACCGCTTGGCTCTCCCCCCAACTCTTCGCATTCACCCCACCTTTCATGTCTCCCTTCTCAAACCTTACCACAGGTCACCCCTCTCCAGACCACAACCTCTTCCGCCTCGACCTCGTTCCATCGCCGGATCCACCACATATACAGTCAATAAGGTCCTCAAATGCCGTTGGCATAGGGGTTCGAGACAGTTTTTGGTCTACTGGATCGGCTATGGTCCTGAGGAAAGAACCTGGGGCTCTGCACGGGACATCCTCGATAAGACCCTTATCCCGGACTTTCTTCCCTCCCGTGCTCCTCCTCTATCTACGGCGTCCGGAGCTGCCCCTGAAGGGGGGGTTCTGTCATGAATCTCTCTCGCGCAGGCAAGCGCTCCTGCATTCCCACGAGCTCTCCCCGTACCAAACATGCATGCGTCAATCAGTCCTCTACTTAAACCCACATCAGTCCCCCAGTCAGTGTTCACGATTGAGATTCTCTCCCTGAGCTTACCTTCTATCTACACCTTCGCCTTACTACTGATTCTCCCCTGGACCTCGACCCTGCTTTTTTCAACTACCTCTTTGCCACTCGATTTTGTACCTTCGCCTCTAGAACGCTCTCTTGGATCCTGACCCCTGCCTGTCTCTTCGATTATGCCTCCGCCTTCCGAATCCACTCCGATGCCTCTTCTACGCCTTCCTGGGCTCCGACCCCAGCCTGTTTCCTCGATTACGCCTTTGCCTACCGATTCTGTGCCTACGTCTCTACTACGCCTACCCGGACTCAGACCTCTGCCTGTTTACTCAGACTACGCCTATGTCTAGCACCAACCCTACCTAGGGTGCCGCATTGGATCCCTATCCTCCGCAGTCAGCCCCTGCGTGACAGTACCAAAGTGCATGACTCACTTGTTCATGTTGATAAGGAAGTGCTTTTAAATCTGATGACAAAATAAATGTTTTTTTTCTAATAAATGTAACAGTAAGTACTGCAGATGTTTATTTTACATACCAGCAGAGTACACAGGACAAAATTCTGGAGTGGGATAGTAGTGTTTGCCTTTTAATATTAACTCTGCTTGTGGCTAACGAAACATTTCACCATCTGGTCATGTTGACAATTAGTCTGTGTCAAGACTAATTTCATATTTAACTCTTCTGAACCAGTGACAACCCCTATTAGTCCATCCTGGATAGCCAAAGAGTCTTCAGAGTCTCACTTTTCCCTCTTAACCACTTCAAGTCAGTTAGTGACTTGAGTGGTCTAAACCACCACTGTCTCTCACTGTTTTACTTTTAAGGAGCTCACTCTTTAATATAAGGTCAGCATGGCTGCCAGGTGAAATTACAGCTGCTTTAATCTGATAAACTGGGGTAAGTCTTGAGTGTTCATTAAAGGAACTGTTTGCTTTCTTTTCATGAATTTCATTTTTGAAATTGGACTGCCATATATCATCACAGACAATCCTGCCAGGCCCCGATCTCAGACAGGACAGAGTGAGAAATGCTTCCTGTTTCAGTGAGTCCAACACAGCCTCCAATGATGAAGTCAAGTTACAAGAGGACTTTTAGCTGCTGTTGATTAAATTTCCATCCAAAGCATCGAAATTTAGTCTGTGATGGCAAGGTTTGCCATCTCTTGTTCCACATTTTGCACACAGGCACACACTCCGACATAGTTTGGCAACATTTTTAATTTGGCAGTCTTGGAATAAAGTCCTGATATAAGTGATTTTTTAATCCCTCTCCTGGGATTTCAAAACCGATTGCAGGCCAGCACAAAGGGGTAAGCTCTCTAGGCAGTCTCCCTCTAATTGTCTCCTGCAAGAATAGCTTCTGAAAAATATATTTTTACATTCAAAGTAAAGAAATAAATATTCTGAAAATAAATACATGGTAGAAACTTCAGAGCCCCTTTCTTTAAAAAAAAAATAAAAATTGCCTCAGGGTAGTCTATATTCTTACCGAAATGTCCACAACTCTTATCCCTGTATACTCTTTCCTATTTATGCACCTCACTGAACAGTTTAGTCTTTGTTTCTCCAGCATTTCTTTCATCTCCATCCCAGGTGTCCTACCCCAACCCTCAGTCTGTGTCTCTCTCCAGTATTTTCTTCATTCCCTATTCCAGACATCCTACCCCATCCCTCAGTCTGTCATCCACTTGTTTCTCCATTGGTTGGCGGTGGTGTGTTTTTTTTCCCTAGGACTCTCTTCTTACAAGTGGGTACTGTCCCGCGTGTCGAACTTGTGCCCATCGCAGTGTCCCACGCTACCTTTCCGGCTACCTGCCCTGCTGGACACCAGAGACAGGGGGTCAGGCCGGATCAGATACCTGACAGAAAAAAAAGATGTCCACCAAGAATTAAAACCATTTAAATAATTAAAACCATCCAACATCAGATAGCCCAAAACACAGGGTCTGAAATATACAACATCCCACCCACTTGTTTTAAACCTAAGAGTTACTACGCATTCGATTTCAAGGTGGCAGTTCTACCTCTTAAAATAATCAAGCTGATGACGGTAAATTTAAAAAAATCCCAAACCCAGAGGACAAAGAATACTTTTTATTGAATTGGGTTGCAGAGAAATATCAGTGATTGACCATGACAATTCAAAAGGTAGTGGGTACCTGAGTAACAAACAGATTCCTACAGATCTTTATAAAAGGCCATTGCAAAACTCACACAATATCGTTGAGCTCCAGGCGGCTGTCTGGGGAAGGATTGATTAGGATGTAGGATAAGGTGTTCCCTTGATCTGTCATTTCATCTGAAACAAGATAAAAAAGGCACTCAATCATTTGTCAGCCTTGATACTGCCCTCTGTGCCCCCCACAGCACTGCACATCACTAATATCATTTATTTTTAAATTCAAGATCTTATTTCTGTAATCATCACTTAGCTGATAATCCTGCCTTTGAACATGATATTTTTGATGGTTTATTTAAAAAGACAGCAATGCACTATTTCCCATGATAATTAGAGCTGTCACGAGTGCTATTTTATACCTTCACGACATGACTCATAAAGTCATCCACCTTTAGGTCAGTTAATACGTTTGTTGTATGGTACAAAAAGTCTCCCTTGATCTGAGATCGTTTTGTTGGTTAACATTTTATTTTTGTAGAATAAGTCTCACTTAACCACTTGCCATGGGAGGTTCCCTTTTGCTAAAATGTAAAAGGGGGGCAAATGGGATATTAAATGTGAATGAAAGGTACTCGTCTTCCTTTTTTTGTCTGAAAGGCTACACAGAAGAGCTGCTGGCTTTCCTGAAAGCTATTTTCACCATTGGTTTTCCTTGGTCTTTGTCTCCTAACGTTCAAGATAGCAGTAAAAAACTTTTAAAGGGCTGAAGTTAAATCCAAGTCACTGCTAAAACTGGATTCCAATATCTATAGTAAATGTGCAAATCAAATACCATGTGTGCACAAACTTATAATATTGGACACTAACAGCAAAAGGCAAAAGTTTAAAGGAAATGAAGCAACTGTATGGAGACCTCAAAACTGCAAGTCCAGGGTAACAGTAAAGAGCTGAAACACCTGGGAAGCAACCTGCTTCAGGTATTTAAGGATGGCAACATGTCAGGCTAGACTGATTAGCATGGGAGAGTGGAAGAGAGAGCTGGCGAAAAAGAGGGTACCAATTTTCTTTTGGGGGAAAACTGGTCTTTCGGCAGTGGAACTTGAACCCATATTTTGAACTTGGACAGATGAACACAACTTGGCAGACACAAAGAGACAGAGTGGACAGGGACATGAGGACATGGAAGTTTGTAACTTAAACTAAACTAAAACACATTTCAGTTTTTCCACCTAAACTGTGGCTTTGCTTCCTGTCGAAGACTGCTCACACACCCAGCCCGCCAGTGTGTCTCAATTTGATTTGAGATATTATTTGAGAAATGTTGCCCATAATAAGCGGACATAATTAGCTTCATTAGCTCAAACAATAGTGCATTTTGTTAGTTATTTTTATGTTATATCTTATTTACTCAAAACACTTAAGTTTACATCTCTTTACGACCAGAAAATATTAGAAACAACTGCAGGGATTTCAGGTCGCTTGACCTGGGTTACATCAGCACATCAATCCTCTACAACGCAGACCAGGAAGCCGCCTGACCGTGACCGCCGGGCGCAAGCGGTGCGAGTGCAAACAGAAACTCGGTAAGAGAGCCGGGCTGCAAATAAGACTAAAGAACAGCGGAACAGACCACCTATACCCAGCCTGTTCCTCGCTAATGTACGGTCCCTAGATAACAAACTGGACGAAATAATACTCAGGCTCTCTACTCGCCAGGAAATAAAAGACTGCTGCACTCTTGTGTTTACAGAAACATGGCTTCACAACAACATACTGAAATACTTCACCATTCAGCTGGATGATTTTTTAACTCTCCGATCGGACAGAATAGCTGCCTCTGGTAAAAATAAAGGAGGAGGTCTTTGTATTTATGTCAACCAAGCATGGTGCAGAGATGATACAGAAATCACGATCCACTGCTCACCCGATTTCGAATATTTATATTTACCAAGGGAATTCACGTCGGTCATTATTACCGCTGTGTACATACAGTACCTCCTAACCCTTATGCTAAGGAAGCAGTCTATCGCTATCCAAAGCTATTAGTAAACAAGAATCAGCACACCCTGATGGTGTTTTTATTATTGAAGGCGATTTTAATCAGGGAAATCTGAAATCAGTCCTGCTTAGCTACCACCAACATGTTGACTGCCCCACCAGAGGAAACAACACACTAGACAATGTTTATATTAATGTACCCGGCACTTACAAAGCAGTACCTCACCCCCCTCTTGGACAATCTGACCACATCTCCCTGTTCCTACTCCCAGCCTACAGACTTCTCAAATGCACCAAGGCTTCAGTTATAACTGTAAAAACTTGGACCAAAGAGGCAGAATCAATGCTGCAGGACTGTTTTGAGTGCACAGACTGGAGTGTGTTCAAAGATGCAGCCTCCCACGAACCACACACCGATATTGACATGTATGCATCATCAGTCACCAGCTATATCAGCAAATGTGCTGATGATGTGGCAAGGGTTAAAAAGATACGCAAACTCCCAAATCAAAAACCCTGGATGAACACTGAGATGCGCTCCCTGCTCAAAGCCAGTGATGAAGCCTTCAAATCTGGTAATGAGGAAGAATTGAGAGTGGCAAGGAAAAAATTAAGAACTGGTACAAAATGTGCCAAGAAACAGTACAAATCCCAGATAGAACACCACTACAACACCAACACTAACCCACGACACATGTGGCAAGGCATAAATACAATCACAAGCTACAAGAACAAAACAAGCCCTGTAAGTGCTACTGACCCCTCCCTTCCAAACAAGCTTAACACCTTCTACGCACGCTTCGAAGCTCATAACCCTGAACCAACCACCTGGACCACTGACTCCCCTGCCACCCCACCCCCCGAACTATCCAAGCTAGATGTCTGGAAATCACTAAGAAGAGTGAACACTCGAAAAGGTATCCCTGGCCTTGTACTCAGAACATGTGCCTGGGAGATAGGTGATGTCTGTACTGACATCTTCAACCTGTCCTTGGCCCAGGCCACTGTACCTAGCTGCTTCAAGACAACCACCATCGTACCAGTACCAAATAAATCAGCACCCACATGCCTGAACGACTACCACCCTATTGCACTCACCCCCGTCATTATGAAGTGCTTTGAAAAACTACTTATTCCACACATTAAAACCAGCATTTCCTAAAACACTTCAGTATGCTTATCGCACAAACCCCTCCATGGAGGATGCAATCTCTATAGCTTTACACACCACACTAACCCACCTGGATAAAAGGAACACCTATACATGAATGCTAATCAGTGACTTTAGCTCAGCATTTAACACCATCATACCCATAAAACTTTCTACCAAACTCAGGACTCTACTGTAGGTTTAGATACCACCCTCTGTAGCTAGATCCTAGATTTCCTCAGAAACTGTCAGGATTGGCAACCTCACCTCCAACACACTCACCCTTAACACCTGTGCCCCTCAAGGCTGTATGCTCAGCCCACTGCTTTACTCCCTATTCACCTACGACTGTACTGCCAAGTTTACGATCATCAAGTATGCTGAAAATACCACAGTCGTGACCCTGATCACTAACATCAATGAGACTGTCTACAGGGAGGAGATAAAACAACTTGCAGACTGGTGCCGAACCAACAGCCTATGTCTCAACATCAGCCAAACCAAAGAGCTGATCGCTGACTTCAGGAGACAAGGAAAAGTCCACTCCCCCATCTACATTGAAGGGTCTGCGGTGGAAATGGTGAATAACTTCAAATTCCTAGGTGTTCACATCTCTAAGGACCTCACATGGGCACTCAACACCTCCAGTCTCATCAAGAAGGCACAACAGCGGCTGTACTTCCTGAGAAGGCTGAAAAAAGTACGCCTGCATCCACAGATCCTCACCAACTTCTACAGATGTATGGTGGAGAGCAGAGAGCATACTGACCAGCTGCATCAAAGTCTGGTACGGCAACTGCACCGTCTCTGACCGTAAGTCACTGCAGCGGGTGGTCAAAACTGCCCAACACATCATCGGCAGTGCCTTACCATCCATCCAGGAAATCTACAACACCAAAAGTCTGAAAAAAGCCACCAAAATTATATCTGACCCCACTCACCCCAGTCATAACTTGTTCTCCTACCATCTGGAAGAAGGCTCCGGACGCTCCTGTTGCACACAACTAGACTCCAAAATAGCTTCTTCCCCAGAGCCGTCAAGCTGGTGACACCCCCACTCCCCACTCCCATAGTATAATCCCTGTGGTGATTATACTATGATCTTTCCTAACTTCTTCCTGTACCCACAGTGACTGTACTCCAACACCACTACCGAAATTGTACTTAAAACTGTACTAGTTGTAATATTTATCAATCATTATATTATTGTTCCCCAAATTACTTTTGCGCAGTTTTTGTCCTGTTGTATTCTTTTCTCTGTTTGCGTATTTGCACAGTTTTGATTACACTGTTATGTTATTACATTGTTATTGTTATTGTGTTACTGTCTATTGTCTTGTCTTCTGTTCTATTTATATATTGCACCTGAGTGGCTAATGAGAAACATTTTTCACTATACTATGCACCCGTGTAAGTATATTGACAAATAAAGTTGAATTGAATTGAATTGAATTTTTTGATACTATAAACTTCCCTTGCACTGTGAGGGTCTCTTTTGCTAAAATGTGAAAGGGTGAGCTTTTGAAGATGGGCTGGCAAGTGAGGGCACAATCAAGATTGCAATGCTTCCTATTTTAAAGTTATTTTTTTCTAGACTCATATAGGACTCATCTAGGACACTTTGTCATAAATTTCTTGAAAGAAATAAAGACGTGCCTCCTGTTACAAGTTTTAAATGCACTGCCACATAGTTTCCATTCATGTCCCCTGCCTCGAAAAAAAACGGGGTATCGACTTCAACAACAGAGGGGCAGTTTGCTCATGAGTCCCAAAACCCCTAACACATTTATAACAAGAGACAAAGTGCATCACTGTGCTTTGCTCTCATGAGCTGTGGCTTGTAACAACAGTACCACAGCAGACTGTGATGCAATGGTTAGTATTGCTGCCTCGCAGTGCTAGGGCCCTGGGGTGGAGTTTGTGCTGTATGTTCTATCTGTGTTTGTAAGGGTTTCCTCCAGGTGACATACTGTAGCCAGATGGGGAGAGTCCCAAGTGCTTCATGCGGTTCTTCACCAAGGCATTGAGCTCCTGCCTCTCGGAGCGCCGGAATAGCGTCATGCGCTGCTGGGAGATGCGCTCGGCGGCGCTGCTCTTCCCCGGGTGCCGCCCACCCTTGCGGCTCAGTCGGCGGGCCCACTGCATGCTCTTGCGGCGGAGGAGTGGGTGATCGGATTGGTCGCTGGAGGTGGAGTTGCGATGGCTGACGCGGCATAGGATGGGCTCCCGGGGCTCCCTGGTGTCCTCGCAGTCCTCCACATTGATAGACACCTGAGACTGGGGGCGATAAAAGAATGTGTTATCAGGGTTAGCAATGGCGTTAGTGGACCAGCAGGAGGTGCTGTATCCTTGAATGCCTTGTATCATAGAATCTGCAAAATGGCAACAGAGAGCCTTGCAGTACCAAAAGGATATATTTTGTCTCACTGTCAAATAAAAACAAGACTCCTGTTAGTCTTATGATTTTACATCCTGAAGAAGTTAAAGTACCTGTGTCACACAACTGAAAAAGGCTCTACAGATGAAACAGTGTGTCTCTTTTCTTTCCTTTCAGCATGAAATAAACCTTTACCTGTTCCTGATTATACATGCTGTAAATGACCTGCACAAGCCATCAATCACTTGCTGGACACTTTGGGCCTTTTCCCTTATTTTTGGGTAAATTTGCATGGGACTTTCTATGGTGCTCAAGTAGTAATAAGGACATTGTTTTCATCTTCATCATCATCAGCACAAAAGTGCCTGCAGCTTCTTAAAAGCTAAAATGGACTACGCAATATCCCAGTTAGAGATGAGATGTTGACCCTATTTCTATGGCTCATTTTCTATTCCTACTCATGTTTCCTCATTCAGGTCTACATAACAACTCTGAAGTGCAACTGACTAAGTGAATTTTCCCTTCTCCATCTCAGCAACAGCCTATCACGTGCTCCCTTTGCAGGGTGTTGAGCATTGGTGGTAAAATTAAGTGACTGCCGTATGACCTGGGAAGTGCTCCACAATCCGTCAGAATAAAAAAAAGCAATATAAATGCAAATATTAATAATTTGCCCCAATTTTAATAGAAATGTGAAAATATACAACAGATTTCATTTTTAGATAAACAATAAGATATGGATTGAACACCTTGTCAGTTGTTTGGTTTTGCAAGGGATTTGATGGAATTTTGTGCAGTAAACACATAAGAGGATACACCACAGAAAAAATACCAGATTATTATCACACTGGGTCGAATGGTGGTTGGTGGTGGTCGTTAGTGCTGCTGTCTCACAGCTGAGCTCCAGTTCCCCTCTTCCAAAGACTTACTGATCAAATCATTAGGATAATCAGCATCTCTAAATTGTCCCCGTGTGTACTCTGGTATGAACTGGCCAGACTGCTTTGCAGATAGGATGATAGTAGGGAATTATATAAGGTGCATTTGATTAACAACCAAAAGATAAATTTAGTTCTATTGTAACAGTCCGGGGTTTGTGGATCAAAAGTATAATAAAGATCACCTGCTTCTCAATACCAAAGGCAGAACAGAACAGTTGCTGTACAGAAAACAAATTTGTATCTTCATACTGACAAAAAATTCACAGAATGAGGGGATTCTATTTTTAACTGTCCATTGTGTGAGTCAGTGTGCTGAACTGTCACAATACTAAGAATCTAGTTTAACCTGTTGAGATTATACTGTAGGAGCTCTGGATCTGATGATGAATATACAAATAAATCAGTGCATGAGGAGGATTAAAAAAGATTATTTCTGAAAAGAGCTGCATTTACTTTCTTTCAAAATTAAAATTAAAATGTATTTGAAAGGAAACCACTGAAAAAAAAATACTTTGCTTGAAAAAAACTGTGTAGGTCATTATCTATTCAGATTCAGGTAATAACATTCCAGAGAGAATGTGACACAAAAGGGAATATTTTGGGGTTCTGGAGGGTCGCAGTTAAACACCTTCTCTACAAACACAGAATCTGCTCCGAATTCCAGAGATCCCTGCTCCTTAGTTGTCTCTGACCAGACTCCCCAAAGAAGGCTTCTCAGCCTTCTGGTTATGATACAGTAAGCACAAAATGGGAAGCATACAAATTAGATAGAAAAAACAACATAAAATATCATCAAACCCATATTTCCAAAAACCCATATTTTCCGTTAGGGCAGTGCATTATGGTCTAGTGGAATTGTGCTACTTGAAAACTGAGGAAGCCAGCTCTACCTCAGATACAGGCAGAGTGTGGGACTCTGTGCGATAGATTCCAATGGGAATATCCCCAGTAGATGAACAGAGCTTCTGGTACAACCTTCCGTAGGTACGAATCCATAAGTCTTCCTCGCTGATCTTCATCTGTAAATAAAGTTGAGCATGGAATGATTAAAGATAATATTTTATCATGGAATGATTAAAGAAAATAATTGAAAAGTAAGAATATCACAGAAACAAAACAAAACAAAAAAAGTGCTTAATCAGAACAGTGTGGGGAAAATACGGATCATACTGTATTTTAATACATGGAACTGGTTAAGCATTGTAGAAAATTTGTACCTAGCAAATCAAAAGGTGTAAAAACTTCAGCCAAACAAAATGACAACGATGAACATGATAACTGTAAAGAGCAACAAACAAATAAAATCTCAGAACAAGTACACATTTGACTGAAAAATCTGAGGAATCTCAGTTTATGAGATGGTACAGGCAACCAATGGACCTGGCAAAGTGATTTTTATGGGAGTGCTTGGGAACCCTGAAAAAGCAGAAATTATATCAGTGGTCACTTTCCATGTGCTAAATATTTCTGTGGAAGCAATTTAGAAAAAATATTAATGCTTGAATCTTACAAGTAAGATAACAGCTTCTAGTCTACCCTGATCAGCTCTACTTACTGCACACAGAAAGCCGGAGCCTGGCATTGAATCTAGCCCCAGCAGAAGGCGTGTGATGGATATCATGTAGTCTTTCACGAAGGACTGCCAAAGAACAAGCAGAAACACTTCTGTTACTTCTGTACCACCACGCACCACTGGCAATGAAACTTTTGTAATGAAACTATTGTAGTCAGGCAGAAAAAAGGCCAGCAACATAGATGAAAATGGTTAGCCACAGAGCACACAGCCCTGAATCACAATCACGATATTAATCAACATATGTGCAACATTCCTTTAACATATGAATAACATTGAATGACATACTGTAACATTGCATGGTATATAACATTATGTTTTTTGGTTGTTTGCCTTTCCAAAAGAGTCAATAAAGAAAACAAAATCAGGTTTTATAAAGATGAATTCCTATACTCTGGAGATTGCAGTTTTGAAAATGGGATGTGTACCTCTTTCTGCCTGTGTCATATGTGCAATGTTGAAGATTGCTGTTGATCTCCAACAGATTCCAAAGTCCTTTTGGCTTATATTCTGGTGTCAGACTGGCACTATGCAAAATGCAGTATGTGAGTGTCAGTGCAGATGTGTGGTAATTTTAAGTATCTTCAAGAACAGAGCAAGAGACTACTGGATCATCCAGAAGAAAAATTGGAAAGATCCTTAATTTTTTTTTTCACTTTTCCCACAAGAATTTTAGTTTTGTGATATCAACAATGCAATGTCAGCTCCAGACCAACACAGCATGGCCATACTTTAGGTGGGTAGCTGCGTCAGCATGCATAGGCTGCAAAGGAACAAGTAATAGGTTTATTCCATGCTGAAAAAAAGAAGAAAGAGAACACAACGTTTCGGCCGTGGAGCCTTCTTCAGGTGTGCACACTGAAGAAGATTCCACGGCCGAAACGTTATGGCCATACTTTGTATTACTGAGTCACTGTTTCATTGGGATCCTTGACAGCCTTGGACAACTAATCCAAACCCCATCTCTGGTAATTCTGAGTCAAATATCTGCTGCTGCTTTGGGTGTCCAGATCACAAAAAATGTATGGCATTGGTCAGATGAGCAGGTAAGTAAATTGTGATAAAAACCAGTGTGGTCCTGGAAGTTACAGGCAGGTCAGTTAATGTTTTTTTTATACAAATGATCGATAAAATACTTTTATCTGCTTTGGTGATCAATATTGAAGTATGGTTTATTTTAAAAGGTGGCTGATGTAAGGATTATGTAGAAAACCTTTAATGGTGCATCTAAAAACCATTTGATGCAACTACATCCACAGTTTGTTGGACTAGTCCTGAATAATAAAAGAATAATTAAAGGACCATTCTTATTTGCTGAAAGCATTACCATTTTTTCCTCATTCAGTTTAACAAAGAACTACAGAGACAAATGCTGGTTCAGCATTAAAACTGATACAGATAGCAAGAAAAAGCAGGAACTCAAACTAATCCCAGAATGTGCTGTCATGCAATGACCATGGAGTCCTGTTCTGCGTTAATCAAAGTGCTCTAGTGGATTGCAGATCATAATATGGGGGTGAACAGATTTATACTTCTATTTATACTGTTCTTTTATCATGGAGACTTTAGGAAGAAAGAGGAGTGTAGGCAGATTTTATAAATGGAAAAAGACACCATAGTCCTCATAAAATTATTCACATTGTGGACAGGGTTTAGGTTTGACATCTTCAGTGAAAGATACCACCTTCTACAGATCTCATCCTAACATGCATGAAAGCTAAGAAATCAGCTTTGTGTTTTCCCTTGAGATACTATTATTTATTACTGGATACATTGAATTATATGGTACAGCAGTGTTAGTTGCCCCATGCAAATGACTGTTTGGGACCACTGTTAACACACATCAAGGAATTAGTCACAGGGGACTTCTTCTGGTCAATGGGACTGCTTCTGCCACTTCTGCCCATGTAAATTGACATGCATTCTCAGATGGAAAGTAGTCAGCTGGTCAATGGAAAGGTGTTCCACTTGCAGCTATTTTTGGCACACTAACATTCCACTGCACCAAGGAAACGTTTTCCCCTTACAGTTTTTGTAATTGGTCATTGTGTTTTCCCTATAATTCAGCTAGAGAAAAAAAAGACAATATGTAGTGGGTGTTCAGGATCAGAGCATAATAATGATGGATTTTGAAAAGGAACGTTAATATGAATGTCTCAAAATGTACAGGGTTTGATGCAGTAGAGAATGAACTCTGAAGGACAGGAAAGCTGGGGAGGAGTAGTATGAGAACTATCAAGTTACCTGGTACAGTAAAGTATCTAGCATGCTAACACTGAAGACTTTGCCTGCAGCAAATGGCAACCGGAACATAAACACCAGGTTAGATCCCTTCTCTCGCTCTTTCTGCAAAAGAAAGAAGAATAGACATGCAAAGAAGAGACTAGGGGATGAAGTAGAGGGAGCTGAAAAAAAGAAAATAATTCACAAGTGCTATTAAAGGATCCACACCCACTGATTGACATATACTGTACAGTAATATTGCTCATGTAAACATCGTCACAAAAATATTTCTGGAAAGCAGTTAAATGGTTCTGGTTCTTCTGGTTTAGCTAGGCTTGGGTTAGCTTTTGGTTAACATTTTTAAGAACAGTAATCAACACCATGCATGTGCATATGACTTCAAATCCACATCCAAGATCCTGTGAACTGCAGAACCTTCATTCAGTTATTTTGAAATATTTTCTTGTCGGTGCCTTAAAATTCAACAAGATTCTTAACAAATTGTTACATCTACTAAGCTTGCAGGTCTTGTGATCAGCATTACATTACTTTCACTCAGCCTTTTACTTATGCTGCATTCTCAAAGGAATTTGATACCGCCTGAATTATGATTTCACCTTGTACACTTGCAAATTATGTTCCTATTTCTGCTTAGTCTTTTACCTGCCACTCAGTCTTGCTCATTCATATTTTCCAATATTTGGCATGTAAAGCAAGTCAGAATATAAACTGAAGCATTTCTGTACCAAACATTTTACTTTTATGGCATAAATATGCTTTTGGACATGTACAGTATGTACACAGTGCATTTATCTGTGGAACGTTTACTAGCTTATTTTCTTGCATATGTATGTCATTGCTAGCTTGTATTTTTAGCTCAGCTTTAATAATAAAATCAGAGAGGAAAAGGCTTAAACAAATTAAATTAAAATAAACATGTGCTATCACTCACAAATGAGTTGCTTTTCCAAGGTTAGTTCAGTTTGTTGAGGTTAAAGAGTCTGAAATCCCAAACTGAAATGTACATCTCAGCATTATGAAGCTACATTAAAAGAAAGTTACTAGTCAAATGAGAACAAATAGCCATGTAGGGAGATATAATTTTGTGGTGAAGGGATTTAGTAGAGATATTTGTCACATGGACATCTCCCAGATACACAGACCAATAAATTCATAACCTCTACTATCTTGCTGAGCAACCTGAGGAGCAATTTCTGTAATGAAAAGTTAGTCACAAACTCCTGAAATAGCAGGAGTCACATTCAGATGCATCCAAACAGCAACTCAAAATGTACACAAAAGTCATAGTGCTTTCAACACCCTTAAAATCAGTAGGCACATGAAATTTCAGCTGTAGTTTTGTGAAAGGAAATAAAAAGAGATTAAACACTTCCTGTCTTGCTCCCGTTGCTTGCTAGGATAGGATCCGGCTCCTCTGTGATGCAGAATTGGAAGAAGTGGTTAGAAAAAGGAAGGATGGATGCCTTGACATATTTTCTAGTAACCTGTGTTTTTTCTAATTAATTTCACAATGAGAACATTGGGTTCCAGATCACCCTGAATGCTGAGAGTAATTGTTCAGAGTGTGGATGGAGCCTTGCACCCACACTGCTGGGCTGTCAACCAGTCTGCTGTGACTGTGATTGCCCAGGAAGAGACATACGATTGGCTGATCTCCACTGGGAATCATGCAGGCTTGATCTATGTGGATTCTTCTCAGTTCATTGTTGCTGTTGCACCTTTGGGACTATCCAGGTGCCTGCAGTCTTGCAGTGTCATCAGTGAGTGGCAAGTCACTCCTCCAATCAGTACTAACTCTTCTGCATGGCACTATGGAGCTCACAGCTGGCATATACTCCCTGAAATGTGCACACATGTTTTTCCAGGTAGTCCACTTCAGTGAGAGACTGGTTAGCTGAACTTTATGCTTAAGAATCAATCAAGAATCTAATATGTCTTCTTTGTTGGTTATTTACACCTAATTTCACCCGGTTGTTTCTTTAAATAATTCATCCTGTTTTTTAAAAAAATGAAAAATATTTCAAGTATGAAAGAAAAATTGGAGACTTGTTATCAAAATATAATCAATACAATAAAACACCATAAAAATATATAGGGTGTGAGTTTAATCGTATAACAATAAGATATGTCAACAGATCAAAATATGTGGGACATGACTGGAACAGGAATATCACACCTCTGTATTACTATGTATTACTATTTAATGTGATTGTGGTTGAGTAAAGGTTCAGTCAGAAATGAATCAAAACTTCTAACCAAATAGCAGATTGAGTATATTTACCTTTTCTAGCTTGGAGAGAGCCTGGGAATAATGATCCTTAACTTTGAACTGCATAAACCGCATGTTAGCAGGATGGGTGAGCTCTGTAATGATGCTGAGACCAGGAAACAACCTAGCAAGAGAAGAGAGAAAACAGAGAATATGTGCACACATGTTGGATGTCCACATACTGTAAAGCAAAACATTCTTTAGCAGAATACAATATGTTACACTTTGCTCTTTAAATATTTGCAGTCCAATCCTATCCCATTTTTCTAGAGGTTCCACATTTCAGTTGAGCTTATGGAAAGGGGGAAATGTTGTGTATCTCGTTGTTCCACCAATGAAGAAGGGTTCTCAAAGCCAATGAGAAAGAATTACTGTGGGGGAAGCAATCAGGGGTGGCACAACACTCTGAAGTACATTGGAGATATCTTCTAGTGTGAAGCCCCAGTATTACTGCTTGGGCACCTTAGGGAACTTTGATAGCATTCATTTAATAAATGGAACTGCTTGTTAACCTGTTCTGAAAAAGAGCCATAAAAGCACAGGAAACCATGAATGATTGGCAACTTTCTTACAGTCTTGGGATTATTTCTTTTTTTTAAATTGTATAAGGGGTCTTGATGGTATAAGTCACTAAAAGCTTTTATTCCTAGAGACCCAGAGTCCAGAAATTGCTTTAACAAGTTCATGCTTCCAAAAGAAAGGCCTCCAAGAACATTCTCTCCACTATATTCCCCCAACCTCCAGAGATACAGATGTTAAAGCATACTGATCCAAGCTCATTCAGAACTGTAGTTTTCTGTTGCTGTGACAAACTTACCAAGGTGTGTGAGAATTGGAAAGAAGAATCCAGTAATTAAAGTATGATAGTTCATGAGATCCTGAGAAAACAGAATCCACACTTCTGGTTCGTGAGAACAAAAGTGCAGACTGGAATTTGAAATGCTCCTGAATCACCTCAAAGCACTCCACTGAAATTTGCTAAAACTAATTACATCTGAGGAATTAAAAGGCAATACCTAATAGGCTTAAGTAAAAATAAAACCTACAGATAGTATGACAAAGCCTCCAAAACTCCAAGGATAAAAGGGTTTATCTCCATGGAAGTCCAAGAGGCACATCGAGGATGGGCCCTACCTGAAGAGTGTCTGCACGTTCACGATGGTTTTAGCATCAGCCATATAGTCCTCTTCAGCAATCATGGAGCTTTCCTTGTCCACCACCACCATAGTGGCTGCAAAGGTTACCCCACTCCGCAAAAGGCTGTCCAGACTGAGAAAGGGAGAGAGAGGGGTCAGATCTGGACTCACATCTGAGGCGCAAGAACAAGAGGGCAAAGAAAACAAGAAAGAGGCCGATGGAAGAAAGGCATCTCTCTGTCATGCCTTCCATATATACAATACACTTGCTTTCCTTTGGAGCTTCAGACACTGAGAAAAGCTTGTAACTGTTTTAATTGAACATAGAGCATTTATTTCCTTAATTTAAGCAGGAAGTCCCATTGAGATTAACTGCTCAAAACTACTATTTTTATAGTTGTGCCACTGAGGTACTTTAAATCAGACTTATGCTATAGTATATCTTGAGTAAGGAAAGCAGTGACATGTTATGCAGAGCTGCAGAATTGCAAAACTATGGTTAATGTCATGTTACTGACAATATTGTTCTATATAGGTTACACCTACTCAAATAGCTTCAAGAGATTCTTTTTTTCCGCTATGGTATACAGTATACTACTGTCAAAAGTCCCCAAAGCACTTGAAGCCAAAAATGCTACAAAACTGTTGCATTTTACAATTTTCTTGGAAAACAGAAGCAGTTGCTTTCTTGTTAGTTTGATGTAAATAGATACAAATTTATAAGTATGGTCTGAATTTATTGTTATGGTCTATACATTTGTGTTTTTTACCCACCCAATTTGGAAACACCAATGTTTTCTTTACGTCTTGGCTCACAGTGATAACTTCTTTACTGTCAAAGAGAATGAAGAAGGGCAGACAGGCTCCTCTGACCCACCTACCCATCACACCAATCATCTGTTGACATGATGAAAGCTCCATGGAAGTAGCAACAGTCACTGTTTCACTGTGATTCATTCCAACCCAACCTACAATAATGGCAAATCCTGGTCACAGTCAGCTAGTGACATGACGTGGTCTCAAACTAAATGGTGACCCACTCAACTGTTCCATTTCACTCCTTCTTATTGTAACTAGACTTTCATGTTTATTTTATTTAGATGTTCTAGAATCCTGCCCCAGTACTTATTAGCTTTTATTTACTATCTCACTAAGGCTATAATCAAATGTCTTTAAATGTAATACTGTATCTCTAGTACTGGACCGAGGAACTGGAAATGACCACTGCAGCACAAATTGAACTGGTTGCATACAGTAAATCTTCTGACACTGCAAGCTGAAATTGATAACATAAATATAAATGCTTAAATAGAAACATGAACATCACATGATCCATGTCAGTTGTGGTACAGCTGAAGTAGATCTAGAGGACCTTGCAAGTTAACATGACTGCAATTTAGGACTAGTGCTGCCTCCATTTAGACCCTCTGGAATTCTCTCTTACTTGTCAATGGAGCCCACAGTGTAGTAGACCATAGGAAACCAGCAAATAGCTTCCAGAAAATGGACTTCTGGTCTAAGAGGAAGAAGAAAGGGAGTGAGAGAGAAAGGCAAAGTGAATGTTCAAATTTAAGCTTTTCAAGAACATGCAAGCATGCTGTATAAGACCAAACCCTGGAAGATCTTTTTAGTGTTTGGGGACAGGACAAGTAGAACAACAACAGGTTCTGAGAATGCGTTTCAAAGCTGACTGAGAGGAAATACTGATAGAGAGGGGGAATGGGACACAGATAGGTATGGCACCAGTCTCTGAAGCCCATGAGTAAAACCCAGGGAAAGGCCGAGAGACATCCTGAAGTTATCCTCTCTTAGGCATTATGTCATTTTACCACATGACCATCCACCTTGGAATACCAGAACATTGCACAGCTCTAATTCTATTCCTCCTAACACTACCAACACTTGGAAGTGTCACGTCCCATGAAACTATTCATAAGATACTTGTGCAGGAACAGTCAAAGGAAAGAAGGTAAAAAAGGAAGAGTATTTACACTAAAGTTCAACTTAATACTACAGGTATAATGTGTTCTGAGATCTAGTACAGTATAAGCATAGTTAGCTATACTGTGCATTCCTTTAAAAGTATCACCTCGAAGGTAACTTAACTGATGAAAAGGGATGTTGTTTTTAATTGAAAAAGAACTAATGCTTGCCCTTAAGTTTCATTAATACCAAAGTGTTATCATTTCTAACCAGATGGTTGAACTCACGGACTCTCTAGCAGCAGAACAATGGGGTTGAGCTCTTTCTTGGGCCGGTAATAGGCCCGCAGAGGCACTATGAAATTGTAAAGCCCGTTGCCAGCACTCTCTGCAGACACGATGATCAGCTTGTTCTTGAAACCATAGGCACGGGCATCCTCGTATGGGATGTGGTGACAAGCCTGAGGAGGGGATGTGGGAACAAGAACTGTCTTATCATTTTAGTCAATCAATCACCCTGTTATTGTATTATGACCCATATACATAAACAAAATGTGCATGAATGACCTCCTCTGTGGCTTGATCTACTGATCTACCTTCCTCAGCAATTATAGCTGAATCATGTAGGGGCATAATTTCCATTAGATCTTAGCAGACATCTGTTGAGACATAGGACCTCTGAGATGTGAAATCTGGCCTGTGTAAACCCTAGATGCTGTCTGTACTGATGCATAAGCCAGGACTGAGGCTGTCTTTTCAAAGTAGTAGAGGAAAACAATCCTGCCCCAAATATAGATGCTTAAATCACCACTTTTCCCATAGCTATTGGATATTCCTGCTACTTTGGATAGGATGGAACACCTCTGAAAGATTCAATTAATATTTTTATAGTTTGTCAGGGTCATTTATCTTACTGGAACAAAATTATTATTGCTTCTGATCTAAATGTATCCCAAAAACCTTTACAGAGAGGGGAACTCATCACATTTCATCTGGTGGGCTGTCTGGAGTAACATCCAGTATACTGTATGTTGCATAGCACAGAAGGTGGAGAAATAATGACTCAACCAGCAGAACCTGAGGGCAAGATTCACCAAACCAGACTGGAAAAGCCTGAACTGGGATTTAAACAAAGCACCCAGATTAGGTTTAACACTATTTCATTTTTGGCAGGTGAACGTTAATAATGAATACACAGGGCCTTTGTTTAACATTTGATCCAGAAGACAATATCATGGTAATAATAATAATTAATTGCTTACACTCAACGCGCTTTACAGGTAATGAGGACTCCCCTCCACCACCACCACCAATGTGCAGCATCCACCTGGATGATGCGACGGCAGCCATAGTGCGCCAGAACACTCACTGCACATCAGCTATCAGTGGGGAGGAGAGCAGAGTAATGAAGCCAATTCATAGATGGGGATTATTATGAGGCCATGATTGGTAAGGGCCAATGGGAAATTTGGCCAGGACACCGAGGTAACACCCCTACTCTTTTAGAGAAACGCCCTGGGATTTTTAATGACCACAGAGAGTCAGGACCTCAGTTTTACATCTCATCCGAAGGACGGCGCCTGTTTATAGTATAGTGTCCCTGTCGCCATACTGGGGCATAAGGACCCACACAGACCTGCTGGCCCCACTAACACCTCTTCCAGCAGCAACCTTAGTTTTTCCCAGGAGGTCTCCCATCCAGGTACTGACCAGGCTCACACCTGCTTAGCTTCAGTGGGTTGCCAGTTGTGAGTTGCAGGGTGATATGGCTGCTGGCAATATTGATTTGCAATGTCTAATCCATAAAACAGGGTGTTACCTATTGGTCCACAAACACGACGTCCGTTAGAAAACTAAATTTCCTTGTATGTATTTCAGCCTCATGCAGACCAGGCCCAACACTGCTTAGTTTCTAGGACTGGAATAATCTAGTAGGTATCTTGGCAGTATAGCCAAGCCACTGCCTTTTCAATACTCCAAAATTAAATAAAAATTTCACAATACTGGGCAAACAAACACGAAGATTATGCTGCAAGTAATCAAGCACGACAGGAATTATACAGAGTAATTCACCCACAGCAAAAGGCAGCACTTCACTTGGAATAGAAATAACAAAAAAATGTGTAAACTTAGGCCAGCATAGACATGCCATAAAATAGACAGCTGAAGAACTTTGCACACATTTTTCCAAGACTGAAGGAACTAGAGCAGACTACAGAAAACAGAGAGTTATCACATATGCTACTGGTACACAGTGCAAGCTCAAATGCTCTTTGCAAAGTTTTGAAACAGTTGCATCTCTGGCTTTAGTGCAATGTGAAAGACCACCCAATACTGATTCACAATAATCCAATGTAGATGTAACAAAAGGGTGGATTTGCAGTGTCACCCCAGGACATAAGCAACTGGCAGTAAATCAGCTGAGTCTGTCATTTAGATTGTGCTGGGTGCCAGCAGAAGGGTGCTCTTAGTTCACAGTCAAGCTTGCGTTTGTACTTTTCTAAATGCTCTGTTGTATTACACAGCCAAAAGCACCGCAAAGGGCAAAGCACTTTTGAAGCCATCTATGCTCTGGTTTGTATTGGCTCAGAAATTTCTGGAAGTTCCCTAAACCCATTGACAATGAAACCTAAAGGGGAAAATGTGTTCTTTCTAAGTTAAAATTTCAAATTTTAGAAGAGCTTCATGCACAGAGTTGGGGAAGAATAAACACAGAAAGGGGAAAGGTTTTAAAAGCTGAAACCATAACTGTATTTAAAAAGATGTGTCATCGTGAGAAGGAGGACAGTGTGATCCAATTTTCAGGAAATTTTCTCACCTGTGCCCATATTTACCTACTCTGTCCTTTGTTTACATCTTTATATACTCACAACCTTTCTCAATTCAAGGAACTTCACTGGCATGATACATACAGTGTTGCCAAAGGAGATAACAATTAACACAACATTTATAGACATTTACACTACAAAGATATTGCATATTACATTGCATACATCCCATAAAACATTATTGTGAGACAGGCTCACTGTCTGTTCCATCTCTCCATCACATACACCTAGAATGGTGCTTATTTTTCCAAAATGGATGTTTTTCCTTTCTATTTTGCCATGTGGAATTCACCTTTACTTATTGCATTGCAGCAATCCCACACTATTGCAATTCACAGCTCAACTATCTTCGTACACAGATGGCATCTTTCACACTTACCTTATCAAGCCGCAGACAGCAGAATGGCACTTTTTCTTGTAGGAGGTGACACAAAGTGGGGGAGCTACCAATGTACGGAGAATTCATGGGGTACCCTTTTACCCACCTGTAAGAGAAAATGTCATCTGCAAAAAGCCTCCAGTACATATGTCCATATGTGAAATACTTCATCAAGATGTCATTGATTGTGATATCAGTATCAACATCGTAATGATGATTTATGGAAGGAAGCAAAACTGTAGACAACACACTTGATGAAGTTCAATATCTGGGTGCTTTTAAAACAAAGACCTTTCACTTTCAAGCTTCCCAAGCTTGTGAAATAATGTGATCCTTCAAATGAGATCTCATGCTTCATTAACCCACCACCTACCCTCTATGCCCTTTTGCCACACACACACTGTAGTTATCGCCATTCGTTGGGTTGGCTTACTCATTGGTGGTGCCAGTGTCGTGGTCTTCGTCATCCTCCTCCGGGCCCCCTTCATCTTCTGATTGGTCGCTCAACAGGTCGAAGGAAGGTGAGGGCACAGTGTCCATCAGCTCCAGCACTGGCGCAATGCTGTGACGCCTCTCCCGGCCTTGGTCGGCAGCGGGAAGGGCCAGTGTGTTGCCTCCTTCTCCTGTGCCTCCTCCGGCACTGTCTGGACTGCTGCCACTGGAGTCCTGCAGGTCCATAGCCACCGTGCCTGGAGGAGAAGACAAAGATGGCTGCTGGCCTGGGCTCCTCTCCTTTCAATGCAAGAAGCTTAGTTCATGTGATCGTACATGTAGGACATGTGGCTACTTTTACATATCATCCCCCAGAATCCTTGTTAAGAAAGCTTTGCATGTTAAAATAACCATGAAGGAATTTAAAATTCAGAACCTTCCCATGCTTGGATTGGAAATAAGTTTTGATTTTGAAAAATAAATTGGCATTAGATGTCAGATCTGGGGAGATTATACGTCAGAGAATACCTGATATTCTTATCAACATCTCCCACTTCGATCTCCCTTTAATGAAACCCAGAAAGGCAATTTTGCCACAAAAAAATCAATGGTGTTGCCATTGAAAGATTTCTCTGCCAAGAACTCCAGGAATCAGCAGGCATTACACATTTATAGATTAATACACTTTATAATGTGTGTTGGGGTACTGTGTTGTAGATGGCGCCACCCTTCAGATGAAAGAGTCAGTTATTAATCATTTCTTAAGAGTCAGGGTTTTAACCCCAGTGTTCTGGCTAATTTCCACTCTTGCCTCATATAGTTGGACCTTCCTAATGTTTCTCTTGAATTCAAATGTGAAACAGTTTTTCACATCTTATGTGTTACATGTCTGTGGTAGATAGAATGGCTTCCCCTCATACAATATATATTAAGCACTTCATGGGTAAACAGAAGATGACTGTACCTTCCCATGTCCCTGGAGGTCCAGTGTATGTAAAATATTAAATGTGTGTCTCTTTAAAGTATGAAAACAGCACATCCTGTTTTTAAATTTGGACAGTCTCTTAAGTCCTCTATGTTGCAATTTGTTGAGGCATTGCAGCATTTTCTTGGCAATAAAAGGCTGATGGGATTATTGAGTCTCACTGTAATAAATTAAATCAGTGGGTAATTGATAAAAACAGAAAGTAAAAAAGCAAGAAGCAAATGATTATCTTCTATCTACTAATGATTGCATGAAATGCCCCTATTTGAATGTATTTCTAGGATAAATACTGGGCCAGACATATAGGGTTAAAGGGTTCCAAAACCAGAATTTTTTCCAAGTCTCGTTTAATTATTAATCTCTTAGTTATTAACAGTTCTTCACCTGGGACAGCAGTAAATCAATTCTGCTTAGTTGAATCACTTTGTCCTTATCGCGTAGCCTTAAGCGGTTGGTTCAATCTTTCAGATTCAAAGAGATGTGGAAAATGGAATTTGAAATACCAAGTAGAGAATTAAACTAAAAATAATTTGTCCATGAACCACTAGGTGGCATGCTTGCATCAGTGATTTGTGATTTACAAGCGGGTGTGCTAACCTCAGATTTTGCACCACAGTGAGATAACTTGGATGAGAGCCCCAGCCTCCAAGTTAAAGCTCACATCCACTCATCTAAGGAGTTCGAACTTTACAGATTTATTCCATTCCTCTTACACAGAACAGTTATCTTCTCAAAGAACTCTTGTATATTAAGAGTTTACAGTACAAACAGTAAAAAGGTTCACTTTAATTTTGTGATGCCTTAATGTGAATGTACCATAATTGACCACGCATTCACCTTCCTCTCTGCACTACATATCATATTCTGAGGTCACACCAGTTCACAAAAGACACAGAAGAATATGGCTGCTCTGACTAAATAATTTGATACATCTGGAGCAGGTATTTCAACATACAGCTTTTATCCTTGACAACAGCAGTGACCTTTCTACTGTAAGATACTGTACTGTAAGATGTGATAACATATTACATGCTATATAATAAAGATGTAAAAGCAGAATGAACTTCCAGCACTAAATTGCTCTTAATCAAGAAAGCAGCCATACTCAGAACTTAATTATTTTTAGCATGAGTTTGGCAAGTAAAGCAATAAAGATGGATTGGACAGATTGCATCCTATTTGCAAAATCTGCACTTCTTCTCATCTTCTTCATTAAGAGCACAGATAAGGGGCTGTGCCTTTGATTAAGCTTAGGGTTCAATCACTGCTCTTTATGGTATTTCATCTAATTTCAACTCTACAGTCCTGTATTCTAATCAAGCAAAGTCCAATGAATTCTGCACTCTCAGCCTGCTCCTGGGGGCATTGCCAATCACCATGTGATTCAGCTGACAGTCTTTTGTTTTGATGAAGTGCTCACAAGAGTGATGGACTGACAGTGATGCTGAGCTGCTTTCTCTTGGGGGCTGTTAGAAAAATTCTGAGCCTCACATAAGAGAAAACCCCGGGGACACTGATGCTGGTGCTTCAACCTACTGTACAGTTCTCCATGTGCGATACTTTCAAACAGCCCAGTTATAGATTCCAGATTATCTTTATTCCTCATCGTACACGTTGTACCTTCAGCATTTAGACTGCAAACAGATTCTAAAAAGTCCAAAACATGAGTGATGTGCTGTCATTACATTTTACTGAACCAAAGAAAATTCAAAATGTACGCTGACAGTGTTCTCCAGAGGCACTCACTGCATGACAGCACATGCTTCCTTTTCTGATGGTATGTAACCCAATCTCCCTACAAAAGAAAGGCACAAAGAAGGAACACAGCTTCTTTGGATACTGCAATGTGCCTGTTTGCCTGTCCTTTGCACGTTGTTGCAACTGCATTGTTCTATGCAGTTTCCCCCTAAATTAGTTTCCCCCTAAACAATTTAGCATTAGATTTGTCGAAAAAGGTGTCTTTGATTTAACAGTTTTGCACAAATCTGCTAAACTTATGGCAGTGCTTAACATGGAGAAATATACTGTATTCATATACTCTTTAGAGAGAGAGAGTCTTTATTATCCCCTAGGAGGCAATTTGTTTTACAGCAGCAGTATTGATGTACAGACGAACAGAAAACAAAACCCACAACATACATACACATTTGCATGGAAAATCAAGTCCTTAGTAATGATATGGCTACAGGTATTAATGAGAACTTAAATCTATTGGTTTTGTAGTTGGGAAGTTGGTATCTGCATTCTGATGAGAGTCACTGGAGATGTGTGAAAGATCATCACAGATGGATTTTGCTTTACACAAAACATGTGAATGATAGATGGTGGAGAGGGCAGGAAGATCAGTACCAATGACCTTCTGACATATTTTCACAAGGCTGCCCAGTTTTCTCTTTAATAATTTTAATCAAACTAATAAATTAATGAGTTCACAATAAATGTGTACTGGTTTATGAGGAAGTTAATTTAGTGGTTATGTGCAAAAATAAAGGGGTATTGTGCAATTATAAGGGCTTCGGTTATTTGGCTATTGTGGAGGCAGTAAACATACAGGTTCTGGTAATATACTGTATGGGGATTCCTATAGGAGTGGTGTGTAATGACTATATATGGATTGATGCCTTTTAGTTCATGTTTAGATTAATTTTAAATGTAATATTTATTTGTACAGTTTGCATGTTTTATGTAAGTCTCTTTGTATATGAAATATAGCTGTCTGAATGCAAAGCAAATTTTAGAGAAATCAGACAATATATATTATTGTATCGTACTTATGATGCTTGGCTTAATTGGCTACAGATCTTGTCAAACCTTCCTTATGAGCCTAATGCAGCTTTGCTCACCCATGCTGGCAATGATGCTGTGAACAGGCAGTCGTGTGAGGCCGTGGTAGATGGTCTGGGGTACTGCATGCCCCCCTCGCAGCGCCTCCTGCTGGCTTAAGATGAAGGCAGAGTTCTCCTCCTTGGAGATGTTGATGTAGAAACAGGTGTCGGAGGCGCTCATGATGTGGCAGGGCCCTGGATTGAGGAGGATGTTGGAGTTGTCCATTCGCCGTACTCCAATCAGACACACCCCATACCTGAAAGGAAAAGGAAATCGCAGTTTCACATTTAACACAGCCTAGATACTGTAGATAGATATGACTCTATTGATCTCGAAGGGAATTCCAGGCCAAAACAAGCAAAAAAAAACATCTCAGAATAGATGAAAAATTTAAATACGTACAGTAATACAAAATAAATATCAAATAAATACATAAAAATAAATACATAGGTGTGTGCAAAATATACTCATAAATAGCCTGTTCTAAAAACAAATAGGAAATCTTTCTTTCATTGTAGGGTTGGGTTCAAATAGATTAATCAATGTACCATGTAAATTTGGGAACCACTGATTAATAATTTCCTCTTTCAATTTAATGTTCTTCATGACAGAAGCTAATTTGTTGTAGCTTTTGTTTGATTTAGACTGCAGTGTTGTGCTGCCTTTAAAGTAATCTAAAAACAGACATTATCCCAAGGCTTCAGTGTAATTTGATTAGTCTCGAGTGCAAATGGCACAATCTGCAAGCCCTGTGACTTGTGATGTGTGATCACAACATGTCACATATATTCTGAGATGTACTGGCATCCCTCACTAGGAACAGTGGCTTTTCTGACAAGGGTTTGAAGCAAAATCTTTTTGGAAATGCAATTATTTTTTAACACAGCTTTTATGGTACCTTCTCAAGACTCTTCTTGGATGAAACTTAAATTAAATCTGATTAAGTGGTATATTGAATGTTAACATTTGTTTTACATTGCAAATGGCTTCATTCCAATTGTCATAATTTCTTGTCCTTCACTGCCCTTAGGAGGGTGTGTATGGTACTCTTTTAACCAAACACATTAATGGATATATAAACTCATTGGTCAAGATATGACTACTGTGCCGGGGAGTTCATCGCAAGGTGTATTTGATTTCTGATCTCATAAAGCCAGTGTAGCCCTCTGTGTGGTAAAGAACAAAATCAGTTTGGCTGCAACTCACTTTTTGTGTGCATGGAAGGAGGCGAAGGTGAAGCTCTTGCCCTGGTACTCCCCAAAGAACTTGCTCTCCTCCAGGCGAATGTGATAGACTTCATTGGCTGAGCAGCGGCTGTATGTGCGATGCCATTGGTCGGCTGAGCTGGCTCCAGCCTCTCTAGGATGGCGGAAAGGTGGGCGGCAGCACAGGAGAGAGTTGAAAAGGCATCAGAAACTCCAATCGTTAGTGACAAAGATAATCAGCACTTAACAGGAAGCTCATGTGCAAATACTTCTGATATTAACTTCGGTCCACATACAAAGAACCATCTGCACACCTCATCAAATAGACTACAGATGCAAAGATGAAAAATGCCAACAAGAATGACAAAGAATTCTCTGCACAAAGCAGCTCTTACTTGTTTTGTGTTTCACTTTATTATTAAAAAGTTAATGTTTCAGTGATAAGACCATTGTCAGAGAATAATAGGCAACCCTAGAAGAAGATGTTCAAAAACATGAGTGAGGGGTGGAAAGAAGAAATGATAAATGTCAGTTTAACAGCTTTTACATGCCACTGCATTAAAGGTTTAATTTGAGTCATGTCAGTTGTACATGTGAGCTCTTGTAAAGAGTCTCCATTTTAACACATTATTCCAGCTAGCCTGTGAAGAGACTTTTCTTGGCCAACAATTTTCCCTTCCAGTCTTGCAGGACACCAACTGACCAAGTCCAAAGTGAATCTCATGTTGGTGTAGTTAAGCAAAGTAAATAATTAAGATCTCAGAAAGAAAGAAAAATGGAGGCATGTCAGTGCTCCAGGACCGGAAGTGAGTACTGCTTTTCTATACAGGACAGGACAGCTTCAGAGTCTCACAGTCCAAGGTGTATGAACTATGGGCTTCAGAGCTCTGGGCAACATTTATCTTACAGCCAGTATAACAACCTATACTGTACAAGCAGAAAAACCTACACAAAAAAAACACAAACACAAAAAAACAGCAGCTCTAAATAATATGAACACCCCTTTTGAACAACTTCAACTGAAGGGCCATTTGATATTCATACAGTGTTGAGCTACACAGTGACAGAAATGTTCCAGCATTTAATAAGAGATTACCTGCAGGCAGAATGGCACTAGAACACAAACTGACAACTGTCGCTGACAAGCTTGTCTAAAGTGTATTAGATATCTTGTTGTCGGGGGTTTTGGCAGGATGTGATAATCTAACGATATTTGGAAATTATTCAAACAGGTAGAATTATCACTAATCAAAATGCCCGACATGTGACCCCAGCCTCTCTACTGACAGCACTTTACAAACTTAAACAAAGGACAAAGTTTTCAGTACTTGTACTAAATCATTTTTGTTATTGGAAATATTAATATAGGTAACGTTACTATAAAAAATACTATAATCCACTTGCTGCTGGATTTAATTTAGCAGACCTATAGTGCTTTCAATTACATGTGGCAGTGGAGCACTAAGATAATGTGTGGGTGGGATTAGCCATTTTATCTCCAGGATTGTATCTTATTCCAGGCACAGAATCAGAAAGTGGTATTACTCATATTCCATATTCCAAGTCCAAAGTGAATCTCATGTTGGTGTAGTTAAGCAAAGTAAATAATTAAGATCTCAGAAAGAAATCCATACATGCTGTGCTTATGTTATTTCCACCAATCAGGGGATCACGCTCAAAAAAAGTTGAATCATGATCTCTAGTCTAGGAAGCCTGGGGTTCCTGAGTCATACCTGAATATAGGGAAACTGCTGAGCTGAACAAGAACATGTGAAACATAGTGGCAATTGAATTCAGCGTGAGTTTTCAGACTTGCACTGTGTACAGTCCAGCTCTCCTGCTACGGCCTCTAGTCAGCAGGTGGATTTTCTCTCTGTGGGGCCGAGCCTGTGCCAAAGTGAGGAAGACTGCAGACTGAGGTGTAAATAAGCTTGTGTCTGTCTTTGAGAGAAGGAGGCTTACCTGCTGAGGGGCTGGAAAGCCCCTGCACGTTGCCGGAAAGCCTCTGGAGGTGCTGTTCTGAAAATAAGAGAGGAGCACAGCCAGAGCAGGAGCTTAGCTGACATAAAAGAGAATACTGGGAATCCTAATAGCATTTATTACTACTTGATATCATACAGGCAATAGGGTTTAAAAATGACTCCATTAACACACTCTACACACATCCATTCTTCTATTTTCTAACCTTTTCATTCAAAAGGTCAGGGGGAGCTGGAGCCTATCCTAGCAAGCAAAGGATGTATGACAGGATACAACCTGAATGTGATGCTGGTCCATCACAGGACACACACACAGACACACCTCACACTCACCCCAGGGTCAATTTTCCTAGAAGCCAATTAACCTACAGTACTGTAGGAAAATGTCAAGGAAAATTACATATACACAGAGAAAAGTTACAAACTCCACACAGACAGCATCCCAGAATCTGAACCCAGGGCTGTGAGACAGCAGCACTAAACGCTGCACCACCATGCCACCCTACTCTATACTCATGTTACTCATTTTTATCACAATACACTACTGTGCAAACATCTTCAATATTTATTGTTCCACTATTTCAACTCAGTGTAAATAAACCAAAGAACAAATGCATGTAATGTATTGGATTTATATGTTATCTGTTGGAAATGCATCACATTGCAAATTCAGTAGGGAATTAAAATAATTGTCAAGAAGGCAGATGAGCCTCCTGTTGCATAACATTGCAGGTTTTGCCAGCTCTAGGCTCTTTAACAAATTCCACTAAGCCAGTACACACTAAATAAAACAAGAAACAGGAAATACCCACCATCTAGTGCTGGCTTATGTGAAAGTTTGGAGGTCTAGAAAACAGGCAGCATGAAGTAGGGCTGTTATCTGTAATTCTGCTTAGGTAGACAACACTCAGCACCCACTGCTCTGTCCACCACTGTCCACTCAAATTCATAAGCATAAACATTGGTGATGATATTGAATTCTAATGACTCCTAGATAAAGGGAAGGACATCACACATGCCTAACGAAATGGGTGCAAGCTTGGTAAAGTATGCAGGAAGGTCCAGCTCCCCAGGATGTACATACTGTCCTCTGGAGGTGTGAATGAGGAGTGTGATGAGAGTGGAGGTCGCAGGGCACACGCAGTTGAGAGCCAGCATAGCGTACTTGAATTCCTCCTCGCATACGACATGATCTGAAAGGACAACAAGAGGAGATAGAATCAGAGGTGAGGCAAAGCAAGCAGCTGGCAGAGAAAATGTCCTTTGACTTATCCACTGCCAGCTGCCAGGTGGGGATGGCAGAGTCTTTTTACAAAAAAATGCTAATCATTTTAAATATGGCTAGTTTTCATCCACTGTGGCTTCAAGAAGATTTTAGAGAGTCTTTTTTGTACATCTTGAGTTGTATGTCTAGCTGTTCATCTGTGTTTTACATTCAGATCTTATTAATCTGTCTTTGAGATTGCTGCTTTAGTGTTATGACTCTGAAACTGGAAAATGTCTTGTAGTTTTACCCTAAAGGCACAATGTTGCATTATATTTAAGACATTGTTAAAGTATTTCAGCTTGTGTTTCCTGAAAAATACTGGAAAAGTCTGTAACCAGTGTTAAATTGAGTGGTTAAGTTAATGTGACATGTACAGTAACTGTCAATGTTGGCACCACAGTCCCAACCATTTGGGTAAATATATAGGAATCAACTCAGGTACTATAGAGCTGGCACTAAGGCACTGCAAGCAAACTGGAAGGTTGTAAAGATCATTTCCTGGGAAAGGAATGAAGAGTGATAAAGGAAGGTCTTTAAAATCGAATAACAATTTAATTATTCAACAGGAAGATGTTTCATAAACATATTTTTACAGCTTGCTCATTACAGTACACAGCAAACCGAACAACGAGCTCTGTTCTCAGTAAAACAAATCTCGTTAGTCATTTTTAACGACACTCGGAGAGCAGAGCATCGCTCATTTGCATTTGTTTAGATTACTTCTGTTGGCAGCAGCAAGCATAGAGGATCAGCTGTTGGCAGCTACACAAGCAAGACAATTACTTGTGCTTCATGGAAGCTGTAATCTTGGGTTCTGAGAGTCAGGTATATAACTGCAATAAACTACAGGTGTCCATATTATCATATAACTCGGTGAAAAGATTAAATGTTTACCCTATAAGAAAAGCCTTACATATCAGGCATGATTTTCCTTGCATTTTTTTATATCCAGTGTTGATATTGCAAACCTCTGCCTCACAAAATCAAAAGGATTTTTTAACACTAAAATACATCATGGCAAGCTTCAAATGCATTGCACCTTGCCAGCTACTATCAAACGCTTCAGAGCTCAGAGGTGTCAATGGAGCGTGACGCATCTCTTCTGCTGTAACTTACACATCTGTCCAGATGTTCTACACCTGCCCTGGCTCCGTGACAAGGCCAGCCAGAGCAGAAGTGCCTAACAGATCTTCCTCAGGAGCAATAGACTGTCCTCCACATAGATGCTTTAACATATTTAGATGTCCTTCACAAGATGTGACACAAGATTAAAGACAACTGGCTGAAACAGGCGTGTAAGTATTATGACTGAAATTATCTCCCCAGGGTACCACTTCAACTTTTAATCATACTGTTTACTACCACATCTTCCTGTTCCATAATTCCTCACTTGTTGTTCAGCAGGCATACATAGACTGATACTCCAAGGATTTTTACATTAAATAATTCACAATGCTATCTAATAATTCCACCATAAGTAGCTACTGAACCTCTGTGATCAGGATGAAGAGCGCAGAGGAAACAAACCAGCAAGCTGCAGTATATTGTATTTTAAGGTATAAATACAATATCCTTTTCCACTTTGTTTAGTGAACTCAAATCAGCATTTGAGAAACCCTTATTTTACTTGAATTGTCAGCAAAAATCTGAAGATGCATCAATCAGGATGTGTAGAGTGTACAAACTAATCTAATCATATTATTTAAATGTGTGTAGAAAGACATAGAGACTTTTATGCATAGAGCTTCAACTCATGAATAATTGAATGTGAGAGTCTGATATACGAAGGCTACCAAAAGAAGCAAACATTCAACAGAAGTCAAATTAATATTTTATTCATACAGTGTATGAATGTTATTTGATATCTTCAGAATCACATTTTTGTAGAAAAGTCAGTGTGGATTGGATTTATGTGAGGAAAAAGGCACTGGTTTTTGTGGAAAAAGAAAAATTCCATGCATCCAATTCAAAAATCCAATTAACAAGCTATTTGAAAGGAAGCCTCTGAGTGCTTCTATTAGTAAAAATAATAGATCTGTGCAAAAACTGCAGAGGTATTTCATTATGTATGGAGGTGATGTGTAAAAATCATGGGGATGGGTGTGTCTGTAGACATGGGTAACACCAGAGCCAGTCTGTCTGGAAACTGCCCTGCCCCATTCCACTATCATCTAAGGGTAAAGAGCAAGGTGAGGGAGCCATGTTTAACTCTGCAGTTCTGAAAGATCGGAGACAGAGCAAACAGCACATAATTTCTTGGGAAACACTTTTGTAATAGTAGGTGTGTGGCACAAAAATGTCTGGCACGAGAATACCTGTTCAAGAAATACCTCTTAATGAAGATTCTCACTCTCACACACAAGCTGAAGAAACATATTCTAAATAATTATCTTAAATTATCAGAGCAGATTCACTGTCTAATCATGTTGATTCAATGTGCTATGAAACATGAGGTGTAAGTTTCTTTAAAGTGACCCCCTGGACAATCTCTGCGTATTCCCAGGGATCTCTGCACTCTTGTCCTCTATTATTTAAAAAGATGCATGTTAGTGGCCATGAGATACAAAAATTCTTACATATAAATTTGACTCAAAACCTTTAATTTCTACTGTTATTACATTAATTCAATTCTGTGAATGAATTATTCTGTATTTCACAAATGCTTTTGCTCAAGAGATCAAGCAATCACACAATCTATTGAATATAAAGTTATTTTAAGTGAAATAAAAACAAAAAACCAAAGCACAGCCTTGTGGGATGCAAAATTCATCTTCTGGCAATACGTTTGAGCCATTTCATACATCTATTTTCTATCTGCTTGGCATGGTACACCCTGGAAAGGATGCCAGACCATCACAGGGCAGACAGACACAAACATGCACACACTCACACCAGGGCCAATTTTCCTAGTAGTCAATAAACCTAATGTACTAGAATGTCTTTGTACTGTGGGTAGAAACTGGAGCACCTGGAGGAAACTTACACAAACACAGGGAGGAAATAAAAACTCTACAAACATAGCACCCAAGGTCTGTAATTCAACTCAGGGCCCCAACACTGTGAGGGAGCATTGCAAAACAATATGCCACCATGCCTGCCCTTGAACCATTTCAGTCTTTCAAATATCAGTAAGTCACGAAGCCAAGCCGCAATGTGAAAGGAATCCAGGGTTCTACAAAGGTTGTAATGCAACATATAAAAACACAAAATGCAACATGTAGCCATTGAAAAATTAAATTCAACTTGGCAGGATGAAAAAAAAAACAACTGGCAAAGCGGCAAATAAATTTAAAACAAAAAGGAAACAAAGACAAGCCGGGCTCCACAGTTTCCTTTGTACTAAAACCGTCCAGTTCAGTGTTCTTCAGGTGTAAGAGGATTCACCTGGAGACTGAGAAAGCATCTTGAGGATGTGAGGTGGGGGAAGCTGAGGGAAGCATGCAGAAAGAAAGTGTGTCATCTGTTTGTCCCACTTCAGGAGATGGATCCTGTTTTCTTCCAGGGTTTGTTTGTTTTTGATTCCTTCTATTTGCTGCTACATATTCAAAAGCTGCAAATCTCTGGGCTGTAATTAGACATGGAGATGTGGGGGGGTGAGTGTTGTGCAAATTAAGTACTTAGAACTGTCGCCCCTGGCAGTCTAATTAACATTAATGTGATGAAATGGAAATTGCAGGAACAAATATACATCTCCGTTTACGACTGAGAAACCTCGTGAGTGACACAAGGCTTGTGTCTGGGGTTTCCTAATAAACCAGTAATGATAAGAAGTATGACAACAACCATCAGTTCTGTGGGAGCAAATCAATCTCTTAAAAATAGCAAAAAAAACATGTATGCCAACACGCACATAGAATAAACTTGGAGGAGTCCAAAGGTTATTCAAGAAGATAGTTTGGATACAGGGCAACTTGCAATTATACAAAGGCTACTTGTGAGAAAAGGGTAGAAAGCCTTTGTGATCATGTCGGTGGGACTCACTGTGGTTTTCAAATTAAAGAGTCCTGTACATAGGCTGTCTCATAAAGCCCTGGAACAAAGTCACTTTCATCTAGTAAAAAGGAAAAAGGAAATTCAATGCTGAGAACAATTTTGGGATTGATACTTAAAATTTACCTGGTAAGCAATATAAATGAGGTTTCCTGCATACTCATTCTAAGTCAGAAGCACACTTTTCACACACTCATTTTGGTTTGTTTGCAAAAAGACAGCCAACAACTTTGCTTTGATACTCACTTAATCAGTTTTACAGTACATTAATAAATCATGGTGTGAAAAACAAAGAGGTCCATGGTGCCATTCACTGTTTGCTGCCTTACAACACTAACATAGTCAAATTGCCATTTATTTAACCCAGTAATATTTCAGTAGATAAGTCAAATTCTAATAAAGACAAGACAAGTTGATCAATATAAAGGTATAGCATACTTAATACTTTCATGTTAAATCACCTGGCTGAGGAAATGACAGCGCTGGCCAAAGATTAGTACTGTCACAGCCCCCCTCAATTATTAGGAATAAACCAGGGAGACAGCTGCAGGAGAGAAGGTAGGGTGGAAGGGTGGGTTCCCAAGTTTCAAAGGTTAAACACTGGTTGTGATATTAGTTTTGCGTATAACAAATAGGCACTATGTGTTCTGATGAAGACAATCATGTGTGTTTCTGACAGCTCATATCAAATACAGGCAACATGTTAACCAGCTTTGCTAGTTACTGCCTTCTCCATTACAATTAATTGGACAGAACTCACCTAATTAATAGGAAGCAGATGCTCAGTATATTTTACAAGCTATCCTTCACTCAGTCTAAGCTGGAGCCCTTCCCAAGCTTATTAAAAAGGAAAAGCTATTTACAGTGTCCTTCTCCTCCTGAGGAGTGATCTAGGGAAATTGCCTTATGGTTTTTTTAAGCAAGTTTGAAAAGGTT